CCACGGGGCAGCACGAGGGAGTGAGGCCGCCTCTCCTGCTGGCTGCCATAAAGGAAACCGTAGCTGAAGATTCTGTCGGGTCCCTCGCTCACTGTTTATGGGGAGAAGCAGAGCTTGACTCATCTCATCGCTAGATAGGATAAACAGAGGCTGAGGAAGGAAACAATGAAGATGCGCACTTCCCATCACAAATATCCATCTACTCACTGCACCAGGGCACGTTTCCTCCCAGTAGCTGCTCCCAGAGTGACTGCTGGGGCTGCCTTCAGTTTCCAGAAGCCGAACTGAAGCAGCTTAGAAGCTGCCCGAACACAACAAAGGAAGGTTTCTGAGCGCTGCAGCCAGCAGCAGTCCTCCGAGCCTCTAACTCCTTTCAGTTCAAGGTTGGGTTGTTTAGTCTAGAGTTAATTCTGCCCACTTTGGTTGTTTTGAAACTGAGATGCGAGGGACAGACAATTGAACGAACCCACAGGGACAAAACAGCAAGGTGAAAAAGGGAGCGAGTGCACCCACAGCAAGAAAATAAAAGCGTTAGGTTGGGAAAAGAGCAGTCGGGGTTTTAATTTTACCTAGCTTTGTCTAACATGCTCCTGTTAGCTGGCTCCGAGCTCTCCCAGCCCAGCCAGAACACACCGTCACACCCCCACGTAGAAGCAAAGCCCAAAGAGAAGTAGCACAGTTATCCTATTGATAAACCCAACTTCTGACACCTTAAATCTCAGATTGACGAGCGCCATTAAGCACGGTCTGAACTCTGCAATGCCTGTTTTCACCGACAGCAGCACAGCGTTGGAAAGAAACTTCACAGAGCGTGGTGGAAAAGGTCTGGCTGTCCCTAGATCACCTTCTCTCCTAAGGATTAATGTATTTTTAGACAATGCGGCCACCCGGTCTTAAAACCAGCCTGATGTATGGCACCGTCACCCCAATTAAAAGATCAGAAGCTCAACTACCTCAAGGAACAGCTGTGATGCCCCAAACACACACGTGTAATAACTGAACACGTCATTTTGTTTCTGTGTCACTGCATGTATGCTGTAACACCTTCACATTTCTAGGCACAAGCCAGCTTTTACCTTTCAGTGCCTACAAAGCTCCCAGAAGCTGCTGCAAGGGCTCTGTGTGAGCAGTGTTGGACCTATCTCTGTTACCCCACACAACAAATCCACGCTGCTTCAGCCACCGCTGCAGTTCCAGCAGAGGAATGAGCAAACCTTTGCTCGATGCCCTCGCAGCGCGAGCTGTCCTGGCTAGAAAAAGCACAACCCCACAATCCGTGCATGAAGTCTCTCTGCCTTCTCCCATCTCCTGGATTTTGTTCCACTGTTCGCTCCTTGGTGCCACAACGTTCTCCTGACTGTGATAACGGAGAGTGGTCTCAAACACATCGTGCCCTCCGCTGTGGTTTTGGAGGGTCCAAAAAACTGCAGTAGCCCTCTGCTTTGCTAGGACTGCACTCAATGTTTGAAAGTAAATAAAGGGCCAAATTTGCTGAAGAGCAATCAAGAAAAAAAGCCAACCGACTTCAGCATGACATGGATGCTGCTTTACACAGCTCTGGAGAGCAGCGAGACATGCCTATGGTTTTACAGCTCTGACTCAGAAACAGGAATAACTTAATCTGGGACTGCCGGGGAGGTTGCAGCCTCAGTTATCCAAGCCAGAATCACCCTGCAAAGTACCTGGCTTCTCATGAAGCAGTTTCTGAATTACCACGGTTGCCCAGCACCTAAAAATAAATCCAAAAAGTAAAGTGCTGAGCTACTTCAGGGGTGTTGTAAATGACAGGCTCAGGAGTTGTTTCATGGGCAATTCAGTTCCCCACGGACCAGGCAAGAGGGAAACAGCTGGTAAATCATCAAAGGGCAGACAAAGGATAAACAGTCTTTTATGTCGTCACCATTTCTGAAAGTCCTTACAGACAGCAAAGCACTGCCTGCTGCATGTGGAGATGCCTTCCCAACTAGAAGCCTCATATTCTTTTCCCCCTCTTAAGACTCAATTTCCATAAAAGTTTAGCCTTTGTTTTCATCTGCCATTCAGGAGGAAGAAAGCTTTACCTGACTGCTTCCCACCACCTGCAAACACCAAAGGAGTTCAACAACAACCAAGATTTTGCTTCCCCTGCTGGGGGTGGTTTGCTTGATGATTTCTGGATGTTCACCCACATCCAGCTAGCATCTCCCCTTTCCTTCTGGGTTAAGCAGAAAACCATTGCCAAAAATACATCGCATTCAAGAAATTACTTCACTCATTGATAACGTGGGATTGACGGTAACCCAGGAGTCACTGAGGTAAAGATGCAGGTGGGGCTGCAGCCACAGTGCAGGGAACAGACACTGACAGCAGCCTCTGGTCTGGGTTAGCGCCGTGCTTGATGCTTCCAAGAGGATGACGACAAGCTGGAGGCTCAGGAACACCACTTGTAATTTAAAAAGTTATTTTCAAAATACAGCTTCACGGCTATAAATAGCAGACAGTTTCTCACCTAGCGAGACAGTACACAATTATTCTTAGTCACAGTGGCCCAGATACCAGAGGAAGTGTAATTTACCTTTGCTGAAAGCCACCCAACGTTTGGGGCTGCTGAGCGCTTCAAACAAACTAAGCCAGTCTGAGATTGGCCCTACGCCTTGTGGAAGCAGATGCTGACTCTGACAAATTGAGCCAGTTGACTTAGTTAAGCCTTCCATAACCTGAAGAGACGTGTGCTTGCACAGAGCAAGTCTCACTAAGTTCCTTAACCAACACAAAAAGTTTACCCACCCTTTTCAACGTGTGGAGTCACTTCCCCACTGCACGGCCACTTGGTCTTACAAACGTTCACCAGCGGTGGGCAGCCACCACCACCTGCTCCGTGTCTCATCATGCCACGTTCCTATCTCCGAGAGAAGATATTTAAAAGAAAAAACCCTCCCATGCACTATATTCACTCAGTTTGTCAACCAGCTCTCCAGAAAGTTCAATTAACTGAACTTCAGCTGACACTGTCATACACAGCATCAGTCCCTATATAATATGGGAACAAACATATTTTGGGCATGTTCAGTGATCAGAACTGCTAGAAACCTCTCCAATCACGAAAACAAACATTTCCACCTGATCCAGGTTTATACAATCAAACCAGACACGTACAAATCCTCTACCAAATCAGTGCTTGTTCCATTTGGGTGCGCAAGAACCTCTCTTTGGCCACACATTGCCTCAGCATCATTCAAAGATGAGAAAACATTAATGAGACACCGGGACAAAGCTTTTATTAAACTGAAAGTAAAGTCACCTTCCCTTCCTGTAAAGCTCTGAAGAAGCGACTCAAGCAGGAGCACGGTTAGCATCTGCTCAACTCCTCACTCATCTAAAAGCTTTTCGAAGCACCAGGGCCTTGGTGCTACTGTTCGACACGTCACCCGATCCGTGGGCAGCTCCTCAGCCCCAAACCTTTCCATATACAGAGCTCTGTCTGCGGGCTGCCTGGTGATTACGGCTTGCCATATCCTCAAGAAGTTTGACCTTGCAAAAAATAATTCTCCATTGATCAACGTCTGATGAATCCAACGCACTCTTGGCTGAGCGTCCCACCGCGGGCAGCAGCACGACGCGCTGACACTTCTGAAAAGATCATCGCAGCCTTGGCTGCAAACCCTCCTGAAGTCATCCCAGCTCGGCCATGCTCCCACCCACCTTCCGCTCAGCCTTCTCCCTTGGCAGAAGGCTTTTAGTAGCCAGATCCTCCATAAACAGCTCTCACTAACGTTCGTGTGCTTCCTTAATTACGTGACAATAAATGGATCCACGCTATCCTGGAGAACAGACCGTGAGCCCCTGTGCTGGTTGCTGTACAGCTTATTTTTGGAACTCCAGAAGAAAACAAATAAAGCCCTCTGCCCCTGGGCCCGCTGACAGCCACAAGCAGATGAGCTCGTGAACCAAGCTTCGAAGCCTCCCAAATATTTCGGTTTAATAATGTCACCCAAGCAAAAAAGAAAACCTAATCAACTCGACTACTGGTCTGGGTGCTCCTAACAGGTCAGTCTCTACAAAGACCTTGCTTCCAGATGTCATTCCTGGGCTGTGCCTCTTTCCCTGGTCCCGCTGCTGCACTCCATGCTTAATCTACGAGATCTTGAGCTCAGAAAGTTTTCTTTCTGAGGCTGGCCCCGGCTCAGCTCAGATTCATTTCCCTGACCAGATGCAACAATCTGGGAGGCTGATTTCACATGCCCTGCTCAATTCTGAGCCAGCCTCAGATATCGGCAGGTTTCCCACCGCAGAAGGGGAGCGCTATCGCACGCTCCCTCACATTCCTGTCAATTTACACAAGGGCAGCAAACACCACAGACAAAACACTGCACGTGTCCCCAGGCAGGGCTCGCCATTCGGAGCCCAACTTCTGCGGCTACTTTTGTAGGATCCTCGGCACGTTTGGGCACACGTTACCACGATCCGTGCTGCTTATTGTGGGCATTTTCTGGTCTCTGTAGACGGTGCCAGCGCGGTGCTTTGGGGACTTTCAAGGCAGCCACACGCACGGAGGCCAGCGAGCCTCCTGACCTTGCAGGCGCTGCGGGCACAGCCGTCCCTGCACACCCCAAGCACGGAGTGAGGAATTCCCTACAAAAAGACCCCAAATAACACCAGAAGGGCCACCTAGCTCCCTGCCACACTCCTGGCTCTCACAGCCCGGAGCTGTAACTCGCTCTGGAGGTGCCTCAGCATCCCGTGGAGCAGCCGGTGCAGGGAGCCACTCACTGGGGGCCTCCACCAGCCCCCTCCAGGACCCTTCCCAGTTTCAAACCCAGTTTTGGGGGCTCAGTCTCGATTTTAGGGCTCGGTAGGCAGGCAGCGCTCCCTCCGCCTTCACCCCCTTGCAGCGCCCGAAGCCTGCAGGACCGTGAGGCGAGGGCAGAGCCCCCCAAGCCCCTCACGGAGCTGAGGGGGACCCTCGGGGAGCCCCCAGAGCCTCCCCACACCCCCCCCATCCCGGTGCCGGCCGCCGGTACCTGATGCAGGGCTGTCAGCCCGTCCACGTTGGTGGTGTCGACGCGAGCTCCGCGGCCCAGCAGCCGCTTCACCTCCTCAGTGTCTCCGCTAGGAGCAGGCGGCCAGGAACACGGCGCCTTCCTCGAAGCGCACCCGGGACCCCCCGGCTCCGCGGTGCCGCCCGCGGCCGCCCCCCGCCGCCACCGGCTCCTGCTCCGTCAGGGAGCCCTTCCAGCGCCTCAGCTGCTCGGCCCGCCGCAGCCGCGCCGACTCGGCCCGCTTCCCACCCAGGTGCTCGGGCTCCGACATCGCCGCCTCCTCCTCCTTCTCCTCCTCCTCCACCGCCTCCTCCACAGCCGCTCTGAGGCGCAGGGAGCAGCGACCGCACCTCAGCCGGGAGCGGGGCGCAGCGCCCCCGCCGCCATCTTCGCTACGCCCCCACCGCCGCCACAGCCGCTGCCACAGCCGCCGCCGCGCCGCCCGCGCCCCGCGGCATTCCGGGACTTGTAGTTCCCGCGGGCGGCGCCGCACCTGCCGCCTGCCGCGCACTGCTCCCGGCGGCCCCCGCGCGGCGCCGCACCTGGGCGAGCCCTCGGACTACAACTCCCAGCAGCCTCTGCTTCACTCCCCCCCCCCCCCCCTCCACCCCGCCTCCCTGCCCAGCCCTAGCAGGGCGGGCTGGCCGCCATCACAGCGCCGCCCGCTGACCGCGCCCCTCGCTCCCCGCTCCGCTGGTCCAGGCAGTGCCCGCACCTTCACACCCCGCACCCCTGCCCGTGTGGCACCACCAGAAACCGGCCCGGCCTCGGGGCTGGGGAGCTCCGGGCCCGCCCGTCAGCCCCTCAGTGTCCCCCTCACACCCCCCCGGGGACCCCTCGGTGCTGAGGGGGAAGCTGAGGGGAAATGGCGGCGGCCCCGCTCCGCCTGGAGGTGCCGTGAGGGCTCCGCTCGGGGCTTTTCTCCTCATAAAAACCCTGCTTAAAGCGAGCCGGGGAGCTGCGAGGCTCTGAACTGCCCCCGCTGCGGCCCTACCCAGCACAAATCTCTTCGTTGGGCCTGCCCCGAGCCCCCCCTCGTGGCTGCAGCGCCTCAGCACGGCCCCGAGCAGCCCCTCCTGGCAGCGCCCGGCTCGGTTTCCCCAACGTGTGGATGAGCCCACTCCAATGGACAGAGCTAGGGGCCGCGTTAGGGGCTGTGAAATACCCATAAACATGCCAGATCGTGGTTTATTAGCGGTCTGAAATCACAAAAGTGAAGGTAGGAATGGCTAGCACGGAGATCACACAGAATCACAGGATTTCTAGGTTGGAAGAGACCTCAAGATCATCGAGTCCAACCTCTGACCTAACACTAACCAGTCCTCCACTAAACCATATCCCTGAGCTCTACATCTAAACTTCTTTTAAAGACTTCCAGGGATGGTGACTCCACCACTTCCCTAGGCAGCCCATTCCAATGCCTAACAACCCTTTCAGTAAAGAAGTTCTTCCTAACATCCAACCTAAAACTCCCCTGGCGCAACTTTAGCCCGTTCCTCCTTGTCCTTTCACCAGAAAAGAGCACCAAGGAAAATGTGTAGTTTAGGACAGAGCTCCAACTAGCAAGGCAGTGAGGGTGCGAGGTGTTGAAATGGGTTTACATACAACCTGGACAGATTAACAGCACTAAATCAGGCACAGGTCATAAATACAAAGTCACCGTCCTTGGTTCAGAAAGGCCTTTGGAGGATGCTAGAGGCTGGGAGCCCTCAGCACCCACTCCTGGCCCCTGTGAGATGTGGGCCTGCTGGGTCCCATTTGGGGTGCCCAGCTGTGGCCTTCCCGTGCTTTCCATGATGTTCTTCCCAGCGGGGTTGGTTATTCGTGGTGAGAAACCTGCTGAGCCCGTGCTGGATCAGGCCTGCAGCTCCGTTACTTTGCATTTATTGCTTCAAGCGTTTAATTACCTCTGGCTGCGTGCCAGGCTGATGTGAGCCATAGCTCCACTAGTGGTGTGGCTCACGGTTCTCTGAGTGTCCTCCCCACCTGCCATGTGGTAACGGGGCTGCATCCCACCCCCTTCTCCTACACAGCTGACAAGACCACCCCGTGCTCCTGTGAAAGCCTTTTGTGTTTTCAAAACTTGCCTTTTGTTTTCCTTACAGAAATTTTACCCAAGTGTATTTAGAGAGATTTCTACATCTGCCCAGGATTCCTGGACATCTGACTAAACTGCTGGATGCCAAGAAGTCCTGCACAGACACAGCTCATGAGAACTGGCTGTAAATCATACAAAGAGTGATCCCAAAATTTCTGGCATCCGTACCGTTACTTCTGGGATGCAGGGCTGCTTTGCACGTGCACAGATCTGCACGAGCCCCCGAACTGTGGGATTTGCTCTGTGTGCCAGGGAGTCAGTCCAGTGCCTTCCTGGAAATGTCTGCTGTAAGCTGTTCTTTCTGCAAACTGCCCCCGCTCTGTAGCAACCACAGCCAGAAGAATGGCAGCCCTATTCCAAATACAATTTATCTTGAAAATGGACTATATCCCCAGGAAAAAAAAAAAAAAAAAAAAAGACTTGGCTGCAAGAGAGGACTATTGTCTGTGGCTATGAACCTCTTGCCATCCTTTCCTCCTCTCAAACACACCCTGGATCCTTGACACTCGTGAACACATTCCCACCTCTGCTTCCCTATGATCCATGCCTTCAAATTCAGTTCTGGCCTTCCTATCTCAGCAGGAAGCTTTTGAACAAAAAGTATTATTCCGCATCTACTCCCAGGCTGATCTACATGAGCACGTGTTGCTGGCCATGCAAAACCTCTGCCTGTGTGCTTCCAGCTGCTAACATCTTTAACTACCGTTTTCCTTCCCTTCAGTTTCTCACTGAATTTCCTTTAACTGCTCTGTTATAAGTAAGTGCTTTATTTATATAATAAAATGTCTTTCTGGAATGGCCCAGGTTTGTGCTTTTTATGCACCTCTGCCAGCAGCTTGTTTGTCTGGAGTTAAAAAAAGAAAAAAAAAAATCAGTCCTTTTATGTTTGCTGAAAAATAATTTTACAAAACCTGCCACATGTCCTATGGTAGATCAAAGCCAGAATCTAACAGCTTGTGAACTCCACGCTCTTTCAATATCTGGTTACCCTGACAATGTCCCACAAATACTGCTGGTTTTGTTTCAAGCTCTTAGCACCGTTTTTGACCTCTTGCTAACCCACATTGTCTTTGGTCACTCATTTTGGCAGCTTGGCTCCCAGTTCAGCGATCCAGGACACTGTTTGCCTTAACCCACCGGTGGGATCCTTCCCAGGTGCCCACGACATCTCCGGCACATTTTAACTCCACGATTGTGAGCTGCTGGGGCGATTTGTCCCACTGCTGCTGCGACACTAGATGGCGTGGGGACCCACAGCACCTGCCCGAGCTCTTTGCTGCTTTGCCTTCTTCCCCCTGCTAGAAAAAGTCTTGAAGTGAAAACTTTTCGTCTCCTTCCTTCCTAGGTGCTGCTGAATGGACGGGGAGGCTGCAGCAATGGAAGGGAATGAAGGGCTGAAGCCAGCCTGCGGTGTGCAGTCTGAGCAGTAGCTCTGCTGCTCGGGGATGTGAACGAGTTTGGACTTTGTCCTGAAAGGGAAGAGTGGCTCAGTGAGACAGCAAAGCATCCCGCTGCCTGTGCCTGGAGCTCACTCCCTCCTTACAGAGGGTTGGGTACTTCACAAGTCTGATCTCCTCCTCCAGCTCCTGCAGCAAGCGGCCCCAGAGCAATGAGCAGACCTGAGGTTTGCAGCGGTGGACCATGATTTTTGGGATGCAGGAGGCTGAGGCTGTGAGTCAGCTTCTAATTCACACGCTCCATCTGCGGAGAAAAGAAGCAGGGGGATGTGAGCCTCCGAAACCTGATGACCCCTGATGCACAGCCAAGGGAAGTCAGCTGGAGAGGCCAACTCCGTGCAGGTCTGCTGGAGGCCGACATCTGCAGCACCGAGTGCTGTGTGTCAGACACTTCCTCTGAGTCATCTGGCAGAGGTTTCCCAACCCCGAGGGGAAGGACACAGCCCTGAGCTGTGGCTGCTCTGGGGTAGGAGTGTAACAAGGCCTCAGGGAACCCTGTGGAAGATCCACGGCTGTCGTGACCAACTGCGCTGGGTGACATCAAGGTGCTCCCATCTCTGTCCTCTTGGCAATGTGCATCGTGGCATCTGCTGGTGCCCCACAGCACGGGACGTGAGCAGCGTTTTCCCCTCGTGATCCTCGTCCCCTCCCTGCATTTCAGGTCTTGCTTCAGGACCAGGGATTTCTGACCCACAGCTCAGGGCAAAGGATTACGATGCCAAAGTTTTCTAGGTCCAAAGGAAGCACCTCCCTCTGCTCCCCTCCCGCTCCTCCCTTCCTCTCGGCTCTCTCCCCTAAGGCTGTGCCTGCCTCGGGCACCGTGGTTCAGAAGAAAACAAGCAGAAAGGGACCCTTGAGCCCCAAAAACCCATAGCTGGTCTCTTTCTTTTCAAGCAGAAAAAGGCCAGCCCGTGCTAAAGAAATTAAATAGTGTTTGCTGCAGGCACCAGCAAAACTGCTCTCTTTCCCAATGTCCCCTCCTGGACATTGGGAAGGATTTCCTCCCGCAGAGGGGGGGCAGGCATCGGAATGGGCTGCCGGGGAGGTGGGGGAGTCCCCGTGCCGGGAGGTGTTTAAGGGCTGTGTGGGGTTAAAAGGGGATGCATGGGGTGACAGTGGGGCTGTGTGGGGTGACAGGCGGATGCATGGGTTTACAGGGGGATGTGTGGGGTGACAGAGGGACACGTGGGGTGACAGTGGGGCTGTGTGGGGCTAAAAGGGGATGCATGGGATGACGGGGATGTGTGGGGTGACAGAAGGATGTGTGGGGCTGCAGGGGGATGTGTGGAGTGACAGACACGTGGGGTGCCAGTGGGGCTGTGTGGGGTGACAGACGGACACCCGAGGTGACAGGGGGATGTGTGGGTGACAAGGAGACGTGTGAGGTGACTGAGAGACACGAATGGTGACAGGGGGCTGCATGGGGTGCCAGTGGGGCTGCGTGAGGTGACAAGGGGCTGTGTGGGGTGACAGACACATGGGGTGACAGGGGGCTGTGTGGGGTGACAGGGAGCTGTGTGAGGCGACAGGGTGCCACTACATGGCGACAGGGCGACGCGCGGGGATGCCGGCGGGCCGCTGAGGGTTCGCCTCAGGCATGGCGGCGGGGCCGGGCCGGGCCGTGCCCTGCAGCGCGGCCCCTCGGGGCGGGAGCTGCCGTCACATCAGGGCCGGGCCGGGCCGGGCCGGGCCATCGCTGAGCGCCAAGCGCCGCCTTCCCCCGCCGCCAACAAAAGCCCCCGAGCGGCCTCGGGCTGAGCAGCGCCGCGCCCGCCGCTTCCCGACCCGACCCGACCCGACCCGACCCGACCCGGCCCGCCCGGCCCCGCTGCAGGTAGGTGCGGGACCCCCCCGGGTGGAGAAGGGGAGAACGGGCAGAGGGCACGGGAGGAGGAGGAGGGGGGGGGGGGGGGGGGCGTGATGCCGAGGGGCTCCCTCCTGGCCCTAAGCTCGGCTGCCGCCTCGTCTGTCAGCGTGGGGAGCCCTGGAGGGGGCAGGTGCCCTCCTGCATCCCCCCGATCCCCTCCTGCATCCCCCTGACCCCTTCCTGCATCCCCCCGATCCCCTCCTGCATCCCCCTATTTCCCTCCTGCATCCCCTCAATCCCCTCCTCCCCTGCAGAGCCCTGTGTCGGGGGATCCCCATCCCCATCCCTCAGGACCTGGCTGGATGCTCTCAGGCAGATCCTCGGAGCTGGCAGCGGGGCCAGGGCGTAGGAGAGGGCGTTAATTAGCGCCTGGCAGGCGCAGCGGGTGCTGCCAAGCTCAGCAGCAGCTGCTTCCAAATCCCCGAGCTCCCCTCGAGGAATCGGCTCTGGGCCGGGATGCAGGGAGCGAGAGGACACAGGCACTGACGTGGTGATGGTGGGACATTGGCGTGGCCTCCGCGCCTCCAGGTTTCGGTGGCGAGGCTGGAAAGGGGCTCGCTCGTTTTGCCGGGACATGACCCAGGGGGCAGAAAGGTTTGCAAAAGCTCAGGTGGGCTCGGTCGGATTAAAGGGTTTGATTCCTGCGGAAGTCAGGAGCTTTTCTTCGCCTACCTGGAAATGCTTTGGGCGTTTGTTCTAGGTGAAATCGGGTTTTTTCTCTGACAAACCAGGTGAACGTCCAGTTGTGGTAGGAAGCTGACAGGTTCGCCGTGTGAGCAGCGGGCAGCAGCAGGCACGTGGTGGTTGTGCTGGGTGAGCGCTCACAAATACCCATGTATGGCAGCGGGCTCAGCACCCCGCTGGCCTGGTGCCGGCCCCGTCCCTACACAGCAGAGCTGCAGACCTGCCTTGAGACGGCAGCAGAAGCAGCACCAAGCATCCTGCTCCGGGTACTGGTGGTGCTGAGGGTCTCTTTCCACCTCAGACCCCCCGACCTTCTCCCTTCCCATCCAGGCAAAGCCCCCAGAGATGTCTGGCCCCATACAGCTGCTGCCTGTGGGGTCAGTTCACTGCTTTGGGCGCTGTGCTGCAATCTGGAAGGCAGCAATTGCACCCCAGGGTTTGGGGTTCCAGCTGTGCTTCCCTCCCCTTGTCCTGTCCCTTCGCCAGGCCATGAATTTTGTGCAGCACTGGTGCTTTCCTGCCATCCCCTCTTATTAATGCTCCTTGCGAGAAAAATAGCCCTTCACACAGGCCAGCTTGGGTCTCCTGGCCCTTAGCGAGCTCCTCCAAGCACGAAGCGAGTGCCCTGTGATGAGTTCCTGCGGGGTATTTTCAGCAGACGGGGATGGTTTTCCAGCTGGTGCAGGAGCACAGACAATGGCACTGACATCCCAGCTGTAGCAGCATCCCAGAGCACTGGGATGTGCTGGTTCTGTACTGGTTTGTGCCTGGTTCTTTAGCCTAACCTAGGCTGCCTCCCGACTCGGTGCACCACAGGCTCTGGTCTGGAAGGTGAGGCTGCTGCTCGCACTGAGCAGGTGAGTGGTGCTGCTCTAGGGCCACACACCAGGCTCTGGATTTATGGTTAATCTCCAAAACACGTCAGACTCGTGGTTCTTTGCTTCCGAGCCACGCAGCTGTTGGTAGCACGGCGCTGTCTTGGTTTGTAGGGCCTCTTGCCTTGCTCAGAGCAGTGCTGAGCCATGGCTGGCATGGAGAATGCTGCCTGGAGGGCTCCGGTTGGGATTCCCTCAGCGCTGGGGGATGTGGAGCTGCAGGAGGGAGAGAAATAATCCTCATTTTGGCTGCCCTGGGCCTCACTTGTGCCTGTGCTCAGCGAGGTCTTTGGCTGCAGGGCCCTTGTGTTCCTCATTCGGAGCGGGCCCGGTGGGGATTTGGAGAAGTGTTACCAGGGTGGCGATGGGGCCTGGAGGCTCAGAGCCCGCTGAGAAATGTGGAAATGATTGCGAAGCCTCCCACAGCCGTTAACGGGGTGCTGGGGTGACGGCTGTGCCCGGATGGCCGGCGGGAGCATTTTGCTTGGACACCCGAGGCAGCTGCTGCATGCTCCGTGAGCGGGGCGCTCTGCAGGGTTTGGGATCATCCCTCGATTTCTGTTTTTCCTGCCCACGCTGCCCCGTACCAGACGCTGCTTTTCTGCCTCTCTTGCAGCCTGCCGGGCTGTCAGCACGTGCCCTGCGTGTTGTGTGGAGTTCCCTGGGACTGGGAGCTTGTGTCCAGCTCTCTGCGCCCTGCTGTGACCCTCACGAGCCCCGTGTGTCCCCAGGGCAAGCCGGTTCTCTACAGATCCATCCTGCCTGGGGACGTTTATCGGGCTTTTTTGGGGCTGCCTGTGTGCTGCTGGGTGCTTTCCGGGGGGGTTCCCCTGCCCCGGTCGCAGTTGAGTTGCTGACACAAAGCCTCACCTCTCGTCTTCCTGGACCAGAGGCAGAAAATAAGCAGCACGAGGGCCCGATCTGCTCGGGGGGCACACAGGAGGGACCTGGGAGCACCCCCTGTGCCCCGCAGCTCAGAGAAGGGCGTCCCTGCTTCAGACGCCTTGCTTTGGGTAGAGGAAGCTTCTTCCTTTGCTGCTGCTGGAAAGGGGAAAAACAAAAAAAGAAAACAAAACCAAAAACCACGTGGCGGAGGCAAAGAGGAGTGGCTGGCCCCAAACTGGGTGGGTGCTGTGTCCCTGAGCATGCTGGGGGTGCCCGGCTGGGGAGCAGGGGGTGGTGGGGGGGCTCCAAAACCCCTCCGTGGTGGGACCTGGTGGCCGTTCCCCGCTTGGGAAGGGACAGGAGAGCCCCAAGCACGTGCCACAGCCAGCGGCGTGCAGTTCCTGAGGGGTCTGGCGTGGTGCAGGAGGGGCCCTGGGGCTATAGGGGGGCTGCCCGGGCTCCTTCTGCCGCCCCTGGGTCAGCTCCTGAACCTGGCGGCTCCCTCCTGCCAGGACAGGAGGAAATCCCGAAATAAGGAGCTTTCCAGAGAAACGCTTCGTGCCCTTTTAAGGCAATGCAAAGGATCTGGCCGAAAGGGAGGGATTTGGCACCGAGGCCACGCGCTGGTCGGAAACCCGGCTCCCAACGGGCTTCCTGCCTCCGGCTCTCACCCAAACAGCTCCTGACCCAGCTCCCTGCCTCTGCTGCTGCCCGCGGGGGGCTGGCACCTGGCTTGGGGGCGTGCAGTGCGAGGGCTGATTGCTTTGGGGACCTCTCCCCCCAATTTTCAGGAGCTGGGTACGGGGAAGCTGGAAGCAGGATGGAGGCTGATGGAGGTGTTGATGGGGAGAGGCCCTTGGAGAGCTCCCAAGCTGCAGCTTGTGCCCACGGACCCATCCCACACCACGAGGCACCACCAAAAATTGTTTGGTTCTGGTGTCTTTGCAGTTACCTGGGGTTGCCTTTAGATCCTCCTCGTGGCCACACTCAACCAGCCGGCCTCTCTCAGCACCTAGCAGGACTGTGCTGTTTTGGGGTGCTCTGAGGTTTCTGTTGGCCTGGTCTTCAAAAACAAGCCACCCGTGTTAACCTCTCCTAATATTTTGGGGTTAGCTGCAGATTTTACCTGCAGATTTGCCGATAAAGGGGCTTTTTGGCCACGCGTCACCAGAGACGTTTCAGGAAAAGGGGAGGGAGAAGCAGAAGCATTTATATCCTGCCCAGGAGCTGCACGGCAGCGCTCAGGTGCTTGTCCTGCACCCCTGGGGTGCCCATTTCGCAGCCTTCGCACTGCTCCCGCAGTTCTGGAGCAGATTGAGGTCCCCGTACAGGGAGGAGATGTGAGCAGCCAGCCGGGCGTCCCCAGGGTATGGAAGCTGTTGGGGACACGGTGCCAGAGCCCCCAAGTGTCTGGGGACATCACCGGGTGCCCTGATGCAACCAACAAACGTTTTCTACCCCTGCTTTCTCCGCAGAATGCCGAACTGGGGAGGAGGGAAGAAGTGTGGCGTGTGCCAGAAGGCGGTGTACTTCGCCGAGGAGGTGCAGTGCGAAGGCAGCAGCTTCCACAAGTCCTGCTTCCTCTGCAGTGAGTACCAGCCCGGCCCTCGGCCCTCCTGCCCCACTCACCCCCCAGCCTGGTTGTAGGATCTGGCCGGGGACTGACCGCGGGGGTCCCTCCCTTGCTGTGCTCTGCAAGAACCCTGGACACTCACATCTCCATTTGGAGACAGCAGGGCAGCAGCGCAGGGCCTGGCGAGCAGTGTCACCTTGCTGAGAGCAGCTTCTTAAAGCCAGGCTGGCCACGCTGCAGGTTCAAAGCCCTTTGAATTAGGCTACCACAGTCCTCAGCCTGTGTTACCAGCTTGTCCCTGCCCTGAAGGCTGTCCCTGAGCAGAGTGAGGGGAAGGTGTGAGGCCCCTAGCGTGGCTCTGTTTAGCCTGCGGACAGAAGGATGCAGGCATGGGACAGCAGCTCCCTGCGCGGCACGAAGGGAGCAGGAGCCCTCCTGCGGGGCCGTGTCTGGGCTGAGAAGCTCGCTGTGGCTCGAGGGGACCAGGAGGGCAGTTTGGGCAGTTTGCTGTCCCTGAGTGGCTGTCCCCGGATGGGCAGGAGCGGTGGCAGGTTGTGCTGGCTCCCTGCAGCAGGAAATCCTTTCTTCCGCAGCCCCAGATAAGGAGGGTGGGGACGTTTCCCTTGTTTGCCCCTGCCACTGGCTTTTACCTCCCGAAACAATGCTGCTGGGGGCTCTCAGAGCTCCCTCCAGGCTGAGGACTGAGGTCTCCCTGCCCTGCAGCCGTCCTTCCCCACGGCCATTCTGCACAGAGGGGCCGTGCCGGGGGATGCTCACACCACACCGGCACCCAGAGCACGGGGCTGGCACCAGGAGCCAAGAAATCAGGGACGAGGCATTGCTCTGAGAAGGGAACACACGGAAACAAGCCACCAGGGAGAGGTCTGGAGGCGAATCCAGCCCGGGCTGCTGTCCCTGTGCTCTGCTCCCCGCTCCGCCTGCCTTCCCAGCCTCTGCCCCTGTGCTGCGCTTGGGCCCCACCAGGGAATTCGAAGCCGTTATCTTTAGGGCAGAAAAACAAACACTCGGGCCTGATTTGCCAAGAAAATAAGCAGAAGGGAGCCAAACCTACCACAGTGCCTTCAAACAGGAGATCGGCTCCGGGAGTGAGTGCTGACTGACTGCGTGGCGGGCGTCCAGCCCAGGCTGCGCAGCGAGGCAGAAGTGGAACACAAGGGGCTGCCGGCCTCGGCTCCTGGAGGGCTGATGTGGGGCAGCTCAGCTGCTCCTAGAAAAACAAAGGGTCCTTCAGGCGATGAGGGCAGGGCGCTGGAATCTCTGCAATGCAGAAAACGGGGAGCCGGGGCTGATTTCGAGGAAGCAGACGGGGAGGAATTTTTGTGTTGCCTGGCAAAGTGCGGCTGCTTCAGACGCGGGGCAGAGAAGGAGGAAGCCAGATGCCATGCTTTGCTACCCCCCTAGCACAAAACCTTTAAACCTGCGGGTGCCTGTCCCCAAATTCCAGGCCTGCAGGGTCTGTGTGAGCACGGAGTTGCCCCCGATGAGCTCCGGGGTACCACGGTGACACCCCAGGTGCCCACCACCATTCAGCAGCCACGGGACCCCTTCACCAGAGTGCCCGCAGCCAGCAGGAGACCCTGCCAGACCCTCCTTAGATGGCAAGACACATCTCCCCGTCCACCTCCTGCTCCTTTTCCACCTCCTTTTCCCATCAGCAGCGTGTGGGGCTGCCATGGAGAAGAAGCACCATATTTAGTAACGGGGCCGCTGCCTCTCGCCCCGAATTTAGGAGCGCCGTGCTCTGTTTGCATTCCTGCGATATTGGTAAAGGCCAAGAAACTTTCCTGCTGGTGGGGAGGGAAATGGGCTGCTGGGAGCGTTGACATTTAAGGCATGTAAGCAGGATGGAGAAGGCTGGGTCACAGCTGTAACAGGATCTGTTTTGGGGCTGGCTGCCAGTGCCGTGGACTCTGCCTTGGGCGTCTTGCTCCGTATGGGGCAGGTAAACACCAGAGATTGCTGCGAGCCTGCTGGGCTGCTGCTCTCCTTCCGTTGCAGCTTGCTGGGTGCTGAGTGCCAGGAAGGGCTTGGAAGCCAACGTGGATGCTGAGATCAGAGCTGGGACAGGAGTCAGGAAAACCTAAAAGTCGGGCGAGGAGCCTGTGTGGTCTGAGCCCAGCACCGGGCTCGGGCTCTGGGTGGGCTCAGCCGGGTCCCCAAGCCCCCCTGCTGTCCCCTTGTGTCCCGTCCTGTGTCCCACACTGATGCCCAAGGCTTGAATGCCTCAGGTGTGCTGAGTGTCACCCCTGCTCGTGTCACAGCCCGGGGTGACTCGTGTTGGCACAAACACCTCCTTGGGAACCTGCCTGGGGTCTGGGGGGGAAATCTGCCCCGTCCTGGCTCCCGTTCCCTTCACCATTCCCCCCAGGATGCCGGCAGCAGCGGGGTTAACAGAGCTGTTGCCTTATTTATTATCAGCCTTGTAGCTTTGATGGTTGCTTCCTTTTAAAGCCAGACAATGTTCTTGTTGTGATCCTTATCTCCAGCTGTTTTGCATGCGCTCCCTTTGAACAATGATCTTGTCTCGGGTTTCCTGCTCCTTGAAAGCCGAGCTGTGCTATCCCTTGTGAGGACTTGTTTTCTCCAGCTAATTAGGGAGATCTGGGTGCAGGCTAATGGCTGGGCCCTCCCCTCTCTTCTAGTGGTCTGTAAGAAGAACTTGGACAGCACCACCGTTGCCGTGCATGGAGAGGAGATCTACTGCAAGTCCTGCTATGGCAAGAAGTACGGCCCCAAGGGCTACGGATACGGGATGGGAGCCGGGACCCTGAGCACTGACAAGGGCGAGTCTCTGGGAATCAAATATGAAGAGTGAGTTGAAGCCTTGTTTTGAAACCAGGGCTGTTGCGGGCACACGTCTTTTTCCCCTCACCTCTGCCCAGCTGTGCTGCTTGGCTGTGGAGCCCAGAAAAGCCCGACCAGCAGACCCTAATCTGGAGGGTGCTGGGGGCACCTTGCTCCCCAGGGACACCCACCCCACGCAGCCCTCCTCCTTCACCCTGGGGCTGAAAGCATCCCAGGGCGAGCTGAGAGCCCCGAGCTGGGCCCTGGGAAGCAGGGAGAAGCCTGGCGTAACCCAGCTCCTGGTGGCACCGAGGTGCTGAGGATTCAGCCCTGTCCCATGGTGTCCCTGTAGGGGAAGTGGAGTCGGGTGTGTTTCTGGATGGGTCACCCCTCCTGGCCAAAGGAACAACCTCCTGGAGGACCAGCAGGGCCCAGAGAGCTGCCCACCAGTTTCAGGGAGCTTCCCACGTCCTGGGCATGCCACATAGCAGGCAGGAGGCCCACGTCTGCTCCCATCTTCTCAGTGGGATGAGGGCTTGGTGGGACATGTCCCCACAGCCCGAGCCTGCTGCCCATCCCCTCCCAGCACCCAGCTCATGGGGCTCAACACCGCCCTGCCAGGCCCCCCAAAACTGGGTTGGGGTTTGCTTTCCCACAGCCCTTCCCTCCTCCTTCCTGCTCCCGCAGCCCTAATAACGTCCTCCCTCCCCTCCACAGGGGTCAGTCCCACCGACCCACCAACCCCAACGCCTCCAGAATGGCCCAGAAAGTCGGGGGGTCTGACGGGTGCCCTCGCTGCGGCCAGGCGGTGTACGCGGCCGAGAAGGTGATCGGAGCTGGAAAGGTAAGAAATGGGATGGAGAGGAGGGGGGGGCACACGTGGCACAGGTGGCTGTGTGGCAGGGGGACCCACACAGGTCCCACTGGGAGCCTAAAGGAGAGCACGTGGCACCTCTGGGAACTGGGTTCTCCAGGCTGCCTCACTCCTCCAGGCCCATGGGTGGGAAAAAAAAAAACATTTTTTATAAAACGTAGTCAGCACTGATCAGTGGGGGACACGGTGGACGTCCCTGCTGCTGGAGGATGAGCAGTGGTGGGACCGTGGCCACTGCCACCACTGACTGGTCAAGCACATTTTCCAGCCAGTCTTCTCCACCCTCAGCTGCTGGCTGGGGTGCTGCAGCCCAAATTCGGGGCAGGGAGTGAGTTCCCGAGGTCCCTGCTGCTCCTGGGGCAGGGGAAGGTGGGTGGAGGTGTGGAGCCCACCGGGTCAGCTGGGGACACCCCGCAGCAGCCCTGGTTGGTGCTCGCCGTGCCCAGATCATCTTTTTGCTGGGATCCGCCATGTCCCCAGCCTCACGGCCGGTGATGCAGGGGCTGTGATGGATGTGGTGTGGGTCAGCCCAGGGTTGGAAGGCAAAGTTGTCCTTAAAATGATGACCTGGGCTTTCGGCCTCCTGCTGTTGTCGATGTTTACAGGGACCCAAATCTGGCAAAGCCATTGTGCTCGAACAGAGACCTCCGAGGATTCCAGGGCATGTATTTCATGTGCTAATGTTTGCTGGATGACTCCATCTGCTACCTCCTCCCCCGGCCCTAATTTCACATATTCTTCCAAAAAAGGTTTCATGTTTTCCAAACTGTTTATTTAAATTCCTCCGTGAGCGGCTCTGGCTACTCTGCGGGCTGCTCCGAGGCTGTGAGCTCATTTATCCCCGGAGGACTGGCAGGGCCGTGGGGGAGTTTTATTTTTAAACGCTGGCTGATTTCTGCGTTCTTACTATCTGTTTGTTGCCTTCCTTGGAGCTGAAGCTGTGCAGGGGCAGGTGTCAACCCCCCCGTACCACCCCCAGGCTGAGGTGCAGCAGCAGCAGTGGATCCCAGGCCACTAAGCCGGGGGATTTATCCTTGTGTTTTAGACCCAAAAAGAGGGGGTGACTTCTCCTTACCTGCTGCCTTAAGCGACTGCTGCAGGTAGGCTGAAGGCTCTTGAACGGGCTCAGCGTGGGAGCAGGGACCACATCAGATGTTTCCCCTCTGTGTCCTCCCCCTGGGGCTGGGGGGTTTCGCTGAGCATGGAGGCAGGGAGGACAGCTCTTCCACAGAAGGGTTTTCGTCCTCTCCAGACCTCTTTGCTCATGGTTTTGGGTCTCCAAAGGGACCCACTTGGTAGCCAAAGCGTTGTTGCCCTGTCCCTGGCTACTGTCTGACCGTGCTCTGCTCCCGTCCCGCAGTCCTGGCACAAGTCCTGCTTCCGCTGCGCCAAGTGTGGCAAGAGCCTGGAGTCCACCACCCTGGCAGACAAAGACGGGGAGATCTACTGCAAAGGTGCGTGCTGCCTCCGTGGGGTCAAGCCCCGTGCTGGGACCTGGGATGGGAGCGAGGGCTGGGGAGGCGATGACCCCCGCAGCTGGTTTGGGGGCTGGCTGCGGGGCCGGGGGCCTCTCTGTTTGCCCGGCAGACAGGGCAAACCCCGACCTGTTTCAGCAGTGCCTTCTTCAGGAGAAGGACCCGCTCGCGTGCCCGTGCTCCCGTCGTGCTGCCGCCCTTACCTTTTCTCTCTTCCCTCACTCTGCAGGTTGCTATGCCAAGAACTTCGGACCCAAAGGCTTCGGCTTCGGGCAGGGGGCCGGGGCGCTCATCCACTCGCAGTGAGGCACCGGGAGCCGGGCTCCGCTCGCCCTGAGCCCCTCCAGACCAGCCCGGGCTTCCCGGCCCTCCCCGCACCGCCGTGAGCACCCTCACCCTCATCCCTCCCTGCCCGCTGCTTCGCAGCACCAGTGCCTTCCCCCTGCCCTGGCCCAGCGCCCCCCAAAGCTGTGGGACCCCCACGGCCACCCCGGGTCCCGCTGGCACGGCCGCAGCTGGGGACACAGCTCGCCCCCACCCGCAGCGAGGCCCCCGCGCCCAAAGCGTTCTGCTCCGTCGCCCGTGCCGCCAGGATGTGCCACGCTGCGCTGTGTCACCGAGCAAGGAATAAACATCAAAGCTGACCCAAGCCTGGCCTTGCCTGAGAGGTTATTCCCCCCCTGACTGACCAGGGAGGACGGGAAATGTCGGTGATGGGGGCTCGTGGTTAAAGCAGGAGCTGGGGAGCAGCTCGCTGGGACTCGACGTGGCCCAGCTGGGCTCTGCTGGTCGGGCTCTGCCCCTGCTCCCTCCCTGCGGGGCCGTTCCCAAATTTCTGCCTCCTTCCTGCAAGCCCACAGCAGAACCTGGGTGCGTGGTGGTGCCGCCACGCGTGCGCACCAAATCGACGCCCCTGTCCGGGCTGTTACGTGGCGCTCCTCCAAACAGGCGTGCCCAGCACTGCTGGATAATTAAGAACTTTTCACCCACTCCTGAGGTTTTTTTTTTTGTTTTGTTTTACTTTGCAGCACCCTGGATCGTGATCCACCAGTTTGGCAGCTTCCCAGGTTTAATTTGTTTTCAGCTAAACACTTTGCCTTCTCTCTGCGCTTCTCTCCTTTGACCCGTGGGAGATACCCACAGGATCAACCTCGCTGCAGCTTAGAGTTTATCCCTGGTGAGCTCCAGAGGGAGTTTTGGTGCTTTTTGAAGCACCATGCTTGTAAACACGGTTGGGCAAATGGGACGGGAGGTGTTTGGAGAAGCACAGGAGAGGCAGAAATCCCTTGGGTAGGACTTGGGCACCTTTATGGAGTTAAGCACTTTCTCCCATTCATCCCACCCTTGATTTTCATGTGGCGTTTGGGCAGCTGGGGTGGGCAGCAAGCCCTTTCTGCCTTCCCAGCCATCCTCCCCACCGCCGTCCCATCACCCAGCCTGTCCCCCAGCCCTCTCCTGGCCGGGTTGTGCTGGATCTGCCCGGCTGGGGTTTGGCCGAGGCGGTGGCAGGAGGCACCCGGTGCAGGAGGGGTGTGAGCAGCAGGGAGAGCAGCGGGCTCGGGCAGCACCCGCGGTGCAGAGACCGAAACTTGGCCGCCCCGGAGAGGGGGCACGGGGGGAGGAAGCCACCCGCGCTCTCCGTGAGCGTGGGGTGGGTGCCGTGCTGCAGCTGCCTGCGCCGTGCTGGGCGCCTGTCCAAGCGCTGCTGTCGAGTCAATAAAGGCAGAGCAAGCCTTGCTTCGGGCTCGTTTCCTCGTAGCTGTAGGGGAGGTGTCAGGGAGCAGGGGGGTGCTGGCGTGCTGCGAGCGTGGTGGGCTCCGCTCAGGCTGCTGGCTCCTGGAGACCTGGAAAGCTGGGGAAAACTGATGGGTTTGGTGTTTTTTTTGGGGATGTCTGAAAGGCAGAGGGTGGAAGGGGCCCGTGGAGGTCTCCAGCCCAGCCGCCTGCCCTGCGGGGCCAGCTCCAAGGGGCTGAGCAGAGCTCCTGGTGTCCGGTCAGGTCGGGAACCCTCCAAAGACGGAGGTGCCACCGCGTTTGGCTCCTTGTGAGCATCAGTCCCCCTTGTGGCACGCAGGTCTGTCTCTTGTCCTTTTGCTGTGCACTTCTGCGTCCCTTTTCTCTGTGTTTTTCTCCTCCAAGCAGTGGAAAACTGCACTTTGTTCTCACTGAGCCATCCCCTGGCTGAACAAACCCAGTCCTTCGGCCTCTCCTCCACCTCGCCTGCTCCTCCCCACTGGTCTCCCTTGTTGGTCTCTGTCTCGGGGTACCGAGGGGCTCAGAGCCATGCTCAGTGCCTGTCAGCTCGTGCTAACACAGCCCAGGGGCTGGTTAGGGCTCGTCCCTGCTGGGCATTTTCGGCAGAGCTGCCCCCAGGCTGCTCGCTTGCTCTTGGGGATGCTCCCAAGAGCAAGCGAGCAGGAGGTGATGGGGCGAGACCCCAGAGAACAACTGGGATCAGGGGGGTTCTCCGGGCATGCCCTGGCCCCATCTGCAGTGGGACGGCTGCGACCATCTGCTACCCTCTGCTGGTTCCTGCTCCCTGTGCACGGGCATGGCGCCGGACAGACGGACGGACACATCCGGACAGCTGCACCCAAGGGTGTCCCCAAACACCAAGGGACAGAGGTGTGGAGAAAGCCTTGGCTGAAGCTCCTTTGCCTCCGTGGCTGTGGGAAGATGATTTCGCCGTGGTGGCGAGGCCGTGAGCAGCAGGGCTGGGGGTTTGGCAGCCCTGGGCTCTCCCCAGGTGCTGAGGAAGGAGCCTGCAGCGGCTGGTGTGAGCTGGGAACTGCAGCCCCCAAACTTCTCCCCAAATTCCTGCGATGCAGCATCCCTGGAGCTGAGCTTTGCCAGCACGAGGGAAAACAGCCCCGGGTGCTCCTTGGGGGAACGGACCCAGGCACCTCTGCTCCCCCAAAAGCAGTGCTTGGGGTGACCCCCAGCCATGCCCAGCCCTGGTGGGGGCACTGGGTACCACGGAGGAGCCGAGGCCACCCGACATCCCGAAACCCGGGACGGGCAGGAGCCGTGCCAGCGTGGCGAGGTTGGCCCCGGGGAGCACGAACCAGTTCTTGGCTGCGGCAGCCACGGCCCTGCCCTGTTAATGAGGGATAATGAGGAGCCTCTCCTGGGCTGCAGACTTGCCCCCCGGCCACGCCGGCTGCCAGCGTTGCCCCCGGCGGGCACCAGCCCCGGATGGTGACCCCGGCACGGCTCTGTGGGGATTTTTTCCCCTTCCAGCCCTTGCAGGGCGAAGGGACCTGCGCCCTCAGCATCTCCGGGGGCTCATCCAGCCACCCGTGGGGCTGTGACCGTCCCCCCCTCGAGCAGCCCAGGGCCAGCACGGTGCCCCCAGGTGTCCCCGGGGGCAGCAAACCCGGGCCAAGCCCTCCGCCAGGCGCTGGCATGGGAACAGAGGAGCTGTGGTGGCCGGGAACGAGACGGGCTGGAAAGGCGCCGGGGTTTTGCCTGTGGGGAGGGAGGACTCCGGCGGGACCGGGCTGTGCCGTGCTGCCCCAGCCCCGCTCCCTGCAGGTCACACAAGGCTGGGGGTGCTGCTCCTCGCTGCGGGACAGGCTGGGGACATCGAGTCCTTCTCCTTGGCAGGGCTTATGGGGTCCCCGCAGCTCCCCCAAGGTCGGTGCTGTGCCCAGAGCATCGCACCCCCGGTGGCACTGCACTGACCCCACAGCCCCATTTGCAGGTGGCACCGCACCCCATCGCCCCCTGTGCCAGCCCCGTAGCCCCCTGCCCTAGCTGCCACCTCACCCCACAACCCGTTCCTGTCCAGGAGTGCCCCCCAAGCCCCTTCCCCAACTGGCCCCACGTGCGGGTGCCACTGCCCCCCTGGAGCCACGGTCACCTCGTGCTGCACCCGTTGCCCCCTGTCCCCACTGCCACTGCCCCCCGCAGTCCTGTGGGTTCACAGAGGGCCTCGGGGCTGCTTCTGCCTGCGGGCACCCCAAAAGCACCCTCGGGGTGGGTGCAGCGGGGCCGTGCCGGGCCTGGCCGGGCTTCGCCTGGGCGTGAAGGGTGCCTGCACGGCAGGAGGGGCCAGGCGAGGCGGGGAAGGAATGCAAGTGGGAGAGCGGCCGGGCGTGCAGCGACACATCCTGGGGAGCGCGGAGCCGGGGATCCCACACGCTGCATGGGGCAGGAGGCAGAGCCCCGGCGATAGGGCCAGCCGGCATGGGGCATCCCGGTGCTGCCCCACTCTGAGAGCCACTGGGGGGCTGTTCCTGGGGGCGCTGAGCCCCTCACCGAGCCAGGGGGGGTCCTGGCGCCCGCCTGGGTGGGCTGGAAATCCCCATCGGGGGATGCTCGGCCGGAGGAGCTGAGGATCCTGCGGCACCCAGGAGCTGCCATGACCCCCGAGAAGGTGCTGCGGGAGGGGGTGCTGGAGAAGCGCAGCGGGGGGCTGCTGCAGCTCTGGAAGAAGAAGCGGTGCCTGCTGACCGAGAAGGGGCTGCAGCTCTTCGAGCCCAAGGGCTCGCGCCGCAAGGAGCTGAGCTTCGCCCGCATGAAGGCGGTGGAGTGCGTGGAGTGGAAGGAGCGGCACATCTACTTCACCGTGGTGATGGACGACAGCCACGAGATCGATTTCCGCTGCGCCCAGGAGGACCCGGGCTGGAACGCCGAAATCACCATGGGCCTCGTCCGCTTCAAGAACCAGCAGGCCATCCAGATCGTGCGGGCACGGCACAGCTGCAGAGCAGGTACCGGCCCCACCGTGCTCGGGGTGCGGGGACCCCAGGGATCCCGTCCCAGGGGGCCACATCCAGCCCCAGGGCGCTCCTGGGGGGATCACGGCACCGGTGGTCCCGGGGCCGGGGCAGTCCCGTGGATGGGTATGGGCATTGCATGCATATTTGGGGGGGTGCAGGTGGGATGAAGGTGGGGACCGCAGCTGACCCCATTCCCCAGCTCCCCTGGGGGCCTGATCCTGCCCCCCAGCACGGGCTGGGTGGGTGATGAGCGCCTTCTCTCCGCAGTGGTGCAGTACGACGCAGCCCCACCGGGCCAGCCCGCGGCCCCGCAGCATCCCAGGAGCAGGATGGAGACGGTGCTCGGCTCGGCGGGCGGCGGGGAGAACGGGATCCCGGCTGGCAACTGAGGCCACCGCCCTCGGTGGCCCCGGGGAGGGCAGCGCAGGCGCCGGCCTCTCCCTCCTGGGGCAGGACAGCGAGGAACCGGAGGAGCCACAGGGCTCGAGCCGCATCCACTCGGACCGACGGGGCAAAGGACACAGCCAGGGCCACCGCCCGGGGCTTTGGACACGATGGAGGTGACGTCCCCACCTGGGGGCCCCCTGTCCTTTGGCCAACGTGGGCAGGACCGTGGCGGGCTGGCGGAGACCCCCCAGGCCTCTCCTGCGGGACAGGGGATGGGATGGGAGAGGCTGAGCCCGAAGGAAGCAGCAGAGCGGTGAGCTCTGGGACAGACGGACGTGGAAGGGGACACGGCTCCCCCTGAGCCCCCACGCTGAGAAGGGGCCGGAGAGCTGCTGCGGCAGGGACCCCTGCTCGCTGTGCCGGGACGGTGCAGAGACGTGGCTGTGGGGGCACTGGGGACTCCTTGTACCGAGCACATCCCCAAACAGGCCCTTCTGCTGCTTCCCTTCTTGTTGCTTTGTTTTGTGGGGCCCCGCAGGGCACGGGAGAGCACAAACCCTGCACAGAGCTTCACGGGTTGGAGGCATCCCCCCTAAATCCACCGGCATCCCGCAGCCGGGCTCCCAAACCCCCCTCCTCACCCCCAACCTCCCGGGTCCCCTTCCCGCTGTCCCCAGGGCTTCCCAAGGTGGCTGATGAGCTCGGCTGCCTGGCTCTGCAGGAGACCTCGCGCTGGGGCTCTGCCCCGACAAGCAGCAGCGCCGACGGAGCGCCTGGAGCCGCCGAGCTCCGCAAGCCGGAGCCTGAGCCCCAGCCCCGCGGCCGGAGGCGCTGCAGATCCGCTGGGAGATTGCCCGGCTGCGTGGGAATGCAGCAGCACGGCGCGATGCGATGTCCCCCCCGGGCTGTGCCACGGCCACGCGGCCCCGCGCCAAGCCAGCGCCGGGTGGCTTTTGGGGAGGGATGGTGGCACGGCCGCTGCCTGCTCCGGGCGCTCCGGGCGCTTTCTGAGCAGCCTGGGAATGAGGAGCCGGGTGGTTTTCCACTCATTTTCTCCTCCCGTGCCCTCGGAGGTTGGTTTGCTAAATCCCCCCCTGCCTGTGAGTGGAGATGAGTGGGGGGCACTGCGGGTGCAGCTGGAGCCAAACCATGCGCTTGGGCTGAGCTCTGCACGGGGGGAGCACGGCACAGGGGGTGCTGGGCAGCAGAGGCTCAGGGCTTGAAGCCCCCCCAGGTTTGGGGTTTTTCTGGCTCCTGGGGCTCCAGCAACTCGCACTCCTGGGGCCCAAACCATGGGGAGATGCTCAGGGCACAGATGCTCAGGACACTCGTGGGCCAGCCCAGCACCCCCAGACCCCATCCCCACACACTTCTTGGTGTCAGCGGTTGGTGTCGGTGCTCACAAGACATCTCCAGGGATTTTTTCTGGCTTCTCAGCCCCAGCTCCCAGGGTTGGGGCATTCAGTGGGGCTCGTGTGAAGCCCTGCGAGCATCCCAAGCCCGAACCATTAAGGAGCAGCACCCGGGGGGCAGCACCAGCACGAGGGGTTTTCTCAATTTTGCACCAGCCTGGGGGGCCCTAACTCCTGGGTCTTGGCTTCCTGCTCTCCTGCTCGCCGTGAATAAATATCTTTTGTTTTCCAAGTGCCAGCAAAGAGCTGGGAGGAAAATGGGCAGCATGGGGGTGTGCACACAGCAGCCCTGGCCGTGGACACCTCCCTTGCACTCTGACACAGGAGGCAGCAGCACGGTCAGGGCACCAGTGAGCTGGGTAGAAATTCAGGTGATTTAGGAAGAGAAATTTAGGGACAGAAAGAGCGAGGCAAATTGCTAAGTTGAGGTTTCAGGTCCAGGCATGGGGAAAGCTGAGGTTTTCCATCCCCATCCCAAGCTCCCCATCGCCCTGCGCACCCCAAGGTGCAGCTGAGCCCGGTCCCCTGGGGCTCGGAGCCTCCTGGGCGCAGGAGGAACCTGCCAGACCCGGCTGCGTGCCACCAAATCCCCTCGGCAGCGTGCTGAGGGTGTGGGCAGGCAGCGGGGGCTGAGGAAAAGGTCACCCAGAGACTGAAAAACAAGGAAAGAGCCGAGAGGCTCGGCCAGAGCAGAGCAGGGATGAGGGACGGCGTCTGGTGCATCCCCAGTGCCGGTGACCTGGTGCTGGTTGTGGGTCCGGACCGGAGATGGTGAGCTGGCTGCTTGCACAGAGTGGGGATGCAAGGGAGCTCTCGGGGCACTTCCAGCCCGAAAAGCAGAGCGAGGACACACGGGAAGCTTTCCTCACGCTGCAGGAGGTGGGGAAACTGAGGCACGGCGAGGGGGGTGGGAGTCACCCAGCCCCAGTGGCACCGGGATGCTGGGGGCCACCAGGCAGAGCCCCAGGATGGAGCGAGGTGCCCGGAGCCACCCGAGCTCCAAGGCAGGAGCCTGAAAAGCTGGCTCCACGGCTCCCAGCCCCGAGGTGCCCCCGTTCCCCCTGGGGCCAGCACCCATGGGTGCTGTGCTGGCAGCCCTTGTGCAGTGCCAGGGGGTGGGAGCGGGTGCGGGAGGAGCTCTGGGGCTGTCCAGGTGCCCCTGACGGCTGCTGGGGGCTGGCAGAGGGTTTGCAGCGTGGTGGTGCCGATGAGGCTGTGCCTGCTCCTGCTGTGAGCCCTGGCACTGCCGCGCTGCTCCGGGAGACGTCGGTGCAGGTTCTGGGTGCTGATCCCTGGGATGAAATGATGGCAACAATGAAATCCTGATCACGGCAAGCAGAACGTCCTCCCTGTATTATTTTCAGCATTGGGTTAAGTAGCTGGCTTCCTTCAGGTGCTGCTAAAATGATGTCGGTGCTGAGCATCCCTACCTATAATCCTTCAGCAACCGAATCTCCTTTTGGACCCCAGAGCCTGCCCCAAGCAGCCCGTGCTGGAGCTGCCCCGTGCTCGTGGGGCACCGCCAGCCGGGGACACCGCACCCATGACACTTCTCCGGCACCTCCGGCACGGATCCAGGGGCAGGACGAGCGCCGCTGTCCGTGGCGTGATGCTCGGGATGCTGCGGGGCCCAGGAGCTGCTCAGGGCTCCCCATCCCAAATGTCCTGCCGTGGTGTCCCAGCAGGAGGTGACGAGTGGTGCCACCAGCAGGGACACGAGCAGCAGGCGGCGGGGCTGCAGAGGGCGGCAGCAGAGCTCACGCACACCCGTGTCCCCGTATCCCCGTGTCCCTGTGTCCCCCGCTGTGCCCAGGCAGCAGGAGCGGGGGATGCTGAGACGTGTCCAGGGGCTGAGGTGGGTGGCAGTGCCTGGAAATACCCTGAAAGAGCTTTAGAAGCAGGGCAGTGTCTGGGCCTGAAATTTTGGATTGTTGAGAATAGTCTTTTTTTCTTTTTCTTTTTCTTTTTCTTTTTCTTTTTCTTTTTCTTTTTCTTTTTCTTTTTCTTTTTCTTTTTCTTTTCTTTTTCTTTTTCTTTTTCTTTTTCTTTTTCTTTTCCTTTTCCTTTTCCTTTTCCTTTTCCTTTTTCCTTTTTCCTTTTTTTTTTTTTTTTCTTTGTCCTTTCTCTTTCCTTTCTTTTTCTTTATCCTTCTTCTCTCTGTCTTTCAAAATATTTTGCCTAAGGCTGAAAACCGGAATGTTTTTTAGGACATATAAACCAACTTCCTTGCTTAACCATGTCAGCCCGTTAGCAGAGGCAGAGCAGCTGATGGCTCCCTTTATAAGAGGCCGCTGGTCCCAGGGGGTTTGACCTCCCCATGCAGCTCTGGGAATTCGCTGTTGGCATCCACCCCCTCGGTGGCAGCCCTGGTTTTAATCGGTGTGTCCCAAACACTGGGGGACATTGCTGTGCAAGGAACAGGGTCTCAGACTGGTCCCCCCCAGGTTTTCAGCCTGTCCCCGTCCTACCCACCAGCAGCTCGGAGGGGTGCCCAAAGCATCAGGAGCCAGCCCAAAAATCAGCCCCACATCTCGAGGCTGTTCCTGACCCAGAGGTGAGGACCCCAAATGTCCTCGTCACAGCAGCTGGAGCAGAGATGGGCAGACCCTGGGCTCCTGCTGGCCCTTTGGCTGCTGGCTGGAGTTCAGGGCTTTGAAACCGAAGCCCCGAGCTGTGGGGTGCCCCCACCCCATCCCTCCTCCTCAGCCCGGGTCCCAGCAGAGGAGGAAACCTGAGCCCGCAGCAGATGGCATCCCAAGCATCGCCAGCACTGCGGACACCGAGCCCTTGGGTCCCCAGGGCAGGGCTGCGGGGAATGCAGCGCCTTTGTCACCGGCTAAATTTGGCTCCTCTGCAGCAGAGAACAATCCCAGGCGGAGGGGAGATGCTGGAGGCACGGCCCCGTGAGGCTTTTTGCCTTATAAAGGGCTGCAGCGCCGGGGGCACATCCAGCGCCGGACCTCTGCGTGCTGGGACCAGAGCAGGTGAAGTCAGGATGGGATTGCTGCTGCCACCACCGCTGTCACCCGTCACTGCCACCAAGCTCACACCACCCTGGGGGCTGCTGCCCCCACGGCACAGCTCCTCGGGGTGTCCCGGCAGGGGAAGGGGCTGGGGGAGCCGCGCACCCCACGCTCCGTGGCACACGGGGCTCCCCTCGTCCCCCCCACCACGGAGCTGCCCCATGCACGCAGCTGCATGTCCCGTCCACGACCATAATAGCCTCGGGATTAAAATACCAGGCATTGTCCCTGCCTGGGCCGCACGCTGGGAATTGTTTGCTCCTAAACTTGCCCCTAAAAATACCCTGGGAACAGGTGCTGCCGGCCCCAGCCTCCTGCAGCGGGGACACCCGGCTTTGTGGGGCGGGGGGCAGATGGCAGCTTTTTTGCTTATTTTCAGTGATTTCAAGGGGAAAACATCAGGGCTGATGAAGGGCTGGAAGTCACTGAAGCATCCCAACCTGCCAGGCTGTGCTGGGTCTGGAGGACCGAGTCTGGCTGGTCCTGCCCCACAAAAAGGAGGCTGCCCCCTCCTCGGTCCCAAGCAGCCACCAAGCAGGTCTGGTGGTGTAAGCCCATCTGTGCTGTTTTTCCCCCTTGCCCCTCATTGGTGTGCCCTGTCCTGCCCCCCTGCAGCCACAACCCCGTGGCCAGTGCTCCCGTGGGGATCTCGCTGTGTGCTTGCACAGCGCGCAGGCACCGCCGTGCGTGGGCGCCTGCACATCAGCTCACCTGGCCATCCACCCCCATCTCCCTTCAGAGGCTTTCTTCAAAAAACAAAAAACATATCAGGAGATTTTCCGCAGGGAAAAAGCACCACCATGCTTTGGGTTGTGGCTTCTGTCTCCTTGCAGGGCTTTTCCAGCTCAGAAGGGAGAGGAGCGCAGTGGAAAGCGCACGGGCACTGCGCCCCTGGTCAGCCTGGCTTGGCACAGCTGCGTGCACACACAAACACGTGCACGCACAGGGCATCGAGCACTGAGCACCAGCATTACCGGGGTGAGCCGTCCACCGAGAGCCCAGGAATTCCCCAAATTGCATGAGGGTCATGGCTGCAATAAAACACGGGTGCGACAGCGCGCGCGTGCGGTGCCCCGTGGCGCCCCGTCTTCGAGGCCGTGCCCCAGGTGGGTGCCGCACGTCACAGGGCGCCGGGGCTCGCAGCAAACGTGTGCACACAAGAGGGGATTTGTGCTATTTTTACTGACCACTTGCAAGCCGCCTGTGGTTTAATACTCCCCCTCCGCCGCCGGGCCCCGCAGTGCGCGGCTCCGCTGACACCAGGCACCACCGAGGTAAGAGGGGGCCCGGCCCCCAGCCGTGCTGCGGGTGCTGGGGTCGCCCAGCAGTGGGACTGGCTCCCCCCAGGAGGCAAATTTGGGCTGATTTTCTCCCACTTCTTCATGGGGGGGTGCTCCTGGGTCTGGCAGAGAGCCCGGTGCAACCTGCATCTGCCAAAGGTTTCCTCTGCTCCCGGAGAGAGGCTTGGGGAGAAGTACCTGCCCCGGCTGCTTTGCAGCTGAGACTTGTTGAATTTTCCTGTAAAGTGGCAAACGGGAGCATTTTGGGGAGCACTAATCCCTTTCATCCTGGTTTCACTGCTCAGGGTCACTGGTGGAAGCAGGGAGGGGAATTTGGGGTGCGAGCAGCGGTGCGTGGCATCGCGCTGGTTGTGCGCAGCCTGCCTCCAGCCCCTGCACTGCGGGGGGGTGTCAGGGCTGGCTGTGTTGGAATTAAAGGGTTTTCTGTGATTTAAAGTTGTTATACTGCTTTTTAAGCTTTTCACGGATTGAGGCATTGCAGAATTAACTTGCCCAGATCCTCTTGTCCCCATCAGAGAGCAAAGTCTTTTTCAGATGCTCTATTTCTGGCTGGAGCCCCAAAATCCCTGACTCAAGTTTGCTGGGCGCGTCTCACTGCTTGGTAGAGCCCTGGCTGCCCTCTGGGAAGTCAAATTAGGAATGTTTGGCCCCAAAACTTGGTTGACCTTGGTAGAGGTCAGCGGGCTGAGGTGTGGTGTGGGTGCCAGCTCCTGGGACAGCGGCTTTGTTCCACCGGGGAAGGAGGGAGACGCCGAGCGGCTCCGCCAGCCCCTGCCCAGTGCCAGGGAGCCAAAGGCTTCACTTTCCCCCCTCGGGATGATCAGGAGGGAGCAGCTGGGACCCGACCCGTGTCCGCCAAGAGCATCTGCCTTCCTTGTGTGTCCTCTGGGATGTTCGTTTTGTCACCAAAAACCTCCAAAAAGGAGTGAAATCGGTGGCTTACAACTGATGGATGGGGATTTGCTAAACATGTGTATATATCCATAAATATTTATCTCCTGCTCTTGGGGTTATTCCTTGTAGGGCCAGGGATCTGGCAGGTCCCGAGGGAGAGGGCTCCTGCTGGGATTTTATGGCATTTTCCTCGCCAGCTGCAATCCTTCAAGCCACAGTTCTGGCAAGGCAGCGGGGGACGGGGAGGAGACAGGGACAAGTGGACGGGGCTGGGAGGTGAAGAGCTGCCTGAAACACTGGGATCTGCTCAGCACAGCCCCCACGCATGCCTCAGAGCTACTCCAGGAGACCAGAATAATAGGCTTTTTTTTTTTTTTTTTCTTCCCAGCAATAATCTTTGGGGTTGTTTAAAATGTTTCCCAAATTCGTGGGGATGCAAAAGGTTGAGGCAAAAAATCTCAGCTTTGTTTCAGTTCAAAGGAACAGAACCAAACACTGCAGAAAGCCATTTCTTTCTGCAACGTGTCTTCAGTTTGTAACTCCTGGATGGAAAGAGGACAGCAAAATTGGTGTTTTCCAAAAGATTGGCATTTTCCCCCATGATTTTTCTATCCCTCGGGTTTACGCAGCACCTGGCCTCTGGGCGAGCAGGGGACGGTGTTAGAGGCAGTGCTGGGGAACAGCATTTTGCAGCTGCTGCTGGGGCATAGGGTTACCGAGAGTATTTAAAATATGAAGCTGTGAGTATTTCACGGGGATGTGGATGCTGAAGGAATCTGCGATGCATGGCCATGGCCCCTCGCTCCGTCCCATGCAAGCCGGTGGCTCCACGGGGAGCTCAGCTTTGGGAGTCGCTCCCCTGTTTCAGCTCCATTCCCTTTTTGGTTATTTCTTCTTGCATTTATTTATTTCTAGGAGAACAGCACGAAGCCACCATGCCAGAGCCGTAAGTAGCAGGGGTTTCCCTGGGCTGTCATTAAATGCTCCCTGCTTGTGCTGGTTGATCCCGTCTGTTTTTATGGGGTCCAGGCAGTGCTCGAGACCCCTGTGCCCCATCAGGGCCGGGCTCCAGGCTGGGCAGGGAGGTGTGGGTGAGGGTGCTGTGACCCGAGCCTCGGGGACCTGGCACAGCGGGTACCATGACAGCTCGCTTGCCACATTTGGGTGGAATTCTGGCTTTTTTTGCTCACTGATGCCCCGTTCTCTCTTCTCCTTCCTTATTGCTCCTGCCCGAACGCGTGCCTGCCTGCAGGGAGGTAAGTGCCCTGCCTCTCGGAGTGATTTGATGCTCCCCTGCGTTTGCTCTGAGTTTGTTTTCAAAGCTTTTTTTTTTTTTTCCTCCCCTTTCCCCTAGAGAAAATCCAAGATCACAGCCTCGCGCAAGCTCCTGTTGAAGGTGAGTCCTAAGGGCTGGAAACTCCCTGGGGTTTGGCTGGGGAAACGGAGCTGGGGCTGGTGGCACGGCGATGGGGCACGGCCCCAACGTGGGCTTTGGGAGCAGCTCCCGTCCCCACCTCGTCGGCTCAGAAACCCTCCCTCATGTGGGCCCTGCGGCTGAAACGCCGAGCAAATCTCCCCTTGGGAAGGTCTTGGTCAGAGCCAAGCCAGGCAGGAAAGTGCTGAGGTCGGCACCCACCTGGACCACCGCAGCCCTCTGAGATCTCAGCCCCGCCGCTCCCCTGCCTCCGGGGTCACCACACGAAGGCTGTGGGGGGGGGTTGATGTGTGCTGCTGCAAAGCAGGGACCTGGGGAGGGCAGCGGCAGCGAGGGGAGGTTTGGGGGCAGGCTGGGGACGTCCCCGTCCCACCCGCAGACCCTGTGTGGGGAGGCCTGTGGGGTGGATGCAGGAGCCTGGACGTTCAGACCTCCGCCAGTCTGCTTGTGTCCACAGAGCTTGATGCTGGCAAAAGCGAAGGAGGAATGGGATCAGGAGATCGTGGACAAGCAGTCAGAGAAGGAAAGGTACCTGGCGGAGCGCGTCACGCCTCTGCACACCAGCGGGCTGTCCCTGAGCCAGCTCCAGGTATTTTTTCTGCAGTCCTGAGCGTGGAGCAAGGCTCCTCCGGGGCACAGGGGCCGGCATTCAGTGCTCCCCTGCTGTGCTTGGCCCCCAGGACCTGTGCAGGGAGCTGCACGAGAAGGTTGAGATCGTGGACGAGGAGCGGTACGACATCGAAGCCAAGTGCAACCACAACACCAGGGAGGTAGGCAGCAGGACGGGCTTGCTGCTACGGGAACTGCCCGCTTGGTGGGGGTCTGTCAGGGACTGGGCTGAGCTGGGACGTGGGACGTGCCCCAGCCTCACCTCAAGGCTGCCTTTTGCCCTGCACAAGTGATGTTGGGCCCAGATGTCACTCAGCACAGGGGCTGTCCCTGCTGCAGGGGGTCCCTGGGTCCCTGGGCAACCTCCTCACCCCCCTGAGCACCACCTGTAGGGCCAAGAGCTCCTGGTGGTCCGGCTGCCGTGCAAGCAGCTGGGACAGGGCAGGGGTAGCTTTGTGCTCGGGTGGACGGTCCCTTGGTGACCCTCGGGTCCCTCGGGTGTCCCCAAGGCCAGGCCTGTCCCAGCTGTGGCTCAGGGTCAGCAGTGTCCTGCTACACACAGGGGCATCTTCTGCAAGGCACTGACTCCCCCCCTGCCCTCCTCCCGCAGATTAAGGACCTGAAAATCAAAGTGCTTGACCTGCGGGGGAAGTTTAAGCGACCGCCCCTGCGGCGGGTCCGCGTCTCCGCCGATGCCATGCTGAGGGCTCTGCTGGGCTCCAAGCACAAGGTCTCCATGGACCTCAGAGCCAACCTGAAATCCGTCAAGAAGGAGGACACGGAGAAGGTGGGTCGCTCCCCCAGAGGCAGAGAGGGCTCCCGGGATTGTCCTCGCCCTTCTCCAAGGTCCCCTGGGAAGCCTCGAGGGTTTTCCAGGTACCCAGCAGGGGTACTGCAGCCCCCTCGGTGTAGCTGCTGAGCTGCACTCGCACGGAGTTTGGTCTTTGGTCTTCTTGGGAATGAGCACAGCTCCTGTTTACTGCAATCACGCCCAGAAAACAACCCAGGAGACTCCCAGAGCCAGATTAGATAAGAGGAAGCGAGCCCAGCAAGCACGCTGGAGACAGGCAGCCCGGTCCTAGTGACTGCAGAGATACAAGAGGGGAAAGTCGTCCCCCAAACTGGGGGCAGCACGGGGTGCCCAGACCCACCTGGGGGTGCTGAACCCCTCCGAGGGGGGGGATGTGGGCATGGGGACACAGCACCAGCAGCCACCGGAGCTGTCGCTGCTTCCAGGTGGGAAATGGCACCCTGAGGGGCCGGGGTCCCAGCTCTGCACCTTGACCTCGTCCCGGCTCACTGCCCTGAGCCCATCATAGGATAAATATCCACGAGGAGGCACAAATCCTGTCACCGTGCTGGCTGTCGGGCTAGACATCCCGGCAGTGCTGCAGCAGAGCACTCTGACAACCCCAAAAAGACCAGGGGGGATTTTTCTCTCAGTGCCATGCTCAGGAATTGCAATGTTTTGGTCCTTTCCTCAGCAGCAGCAATGTTGGGATGTAAAGATCCCCCCCCCCACCTCCCAAGAAGAGTTGTGCTGCTTTCCCAGCAGCACAACAATTTATTTTTTATTTTTTATTTTTATTTTTTATTTTTTATTTTTTATTTTTATTTTTTATTTTTTATTTTTTATTTTATTTTTTATTTTTTATTTTTTTCCCCACTGTTGCTGGTAGGGCATGTTTTCAGCCCTTCGGACAGAAAACTGCACTTACAGATCTCAACGCCAGGCGGTGACCAGATCTGAGTCTGTTGCAGATGCCGTGAGATGATTTTGGGGCACGGCTCGTAATCTATGAATGCCTGTGGGCTGGCAGGGCCGGTGCCTGGCACGCTCCCAGGGCCGCCTCCACCTCCCCGTTCTGCCCCAGCCGCGGCTGCTGGGCTCTCCCAGTATCACCAGCAACCCCAGTCCCATCCGAGAGCTGGGAGGAAGCGCAGCTGGGAGCCTCCTGCGCAGAAAATGGGCGCAGAAAATGGTTCTGCTCGCATTTGGTGTAGCTCTGGAGTTAGTCCCACGTGCTGGCTTCTTCCTCCTGAAAAGATTTTCTGGGATTTTCGTGCCTCCCAGTGCAGCTTAGCCAGGTTTTGGGCAGGTACCCATGCGCACCCAGAGCTCCTGGCCAGCCCCAGCCCCACGGGGCATGGGGGTTTGCAGCAGGGCAGCTGCTGACCCCGAGCAGGGCTCCGTGCCGTGGGGTGGGACGGTGTGGGGCTGCCGGCTGTCCCCCCACTAAGCCCTGTCCCCGTTCCCCCCGGCAGGAGCGCCCCGTGGAAGTGGGCGACTGGCGCAAGAACGTGGAGGCCATGTCGGGGATGGAGGGGAGGAAGAAGATGTTCGACGCCGCCAAATCCCCCACGGGGCAGTGAGAGGTAGGGGCTCCGTCCCCCCGTGCGCCCTGCAGCATCCCCTGCCTGTGCTTGTGGCTGGGGCAATGCAGAACGGCCCCAAAGAGGCACCGCCTGCCCCATCTCCCACCCCACACGGGGGACATGTCCCTGCCCCACACATCCCAAGCGTGGAGCCCCCACCAGCATCTCCCCTGGCTTCTCCTCCCCATCTCCCCGGGGTTTGCCCACGCTGCGCTCATCCTGCACAGTGCGGGCATGGGTGGCACCAGCTTTGGGCAACTTTTGGTGAAATTCCTCTTCTGCCCCACTTCTCTGCTCTGTTTCTCTCCCGCAGGTGTGCCAGGGCAGAAGAAGGTCCCCAACCCCGCTCCCTGCCCCCTTTTCCCTTGCTGCCCCTCCGTACTCTTTGCACCCTCACCCCGAGCTCAGCACCGAGATGAGAAGTGTGGAAAACCGTGCGGGAAGGAGACCCGAGCTTCTTCCTTCCAGCTCTGCCTCTTGCCCTGCTCCCACACGGCCCCAGCACAGCGGCTCCCGCGGGCATCACCTCCACGGGACGTGCTCCTGGAGGGGCCACCAGCCGGTCCCCCTGCTCCCCCACCCTTGGGTGCAGCCTGAGATGTGCCCTGCATTAAAGGACGGTCTCCGGGGCTGCGCCGCGTGGGCTCCTCACTGCGTGGGCCACGAGCAGCTGCTGGTCCACAGCCCCCTGGGGGAGACATCCTGGCCCTTTCCTGCCACCCGGCGATGTCCTCGTGATAGCTCTCAGGCCAGCACGCCCTGGGACCAGCCTTGCATGGGGTCATCTCTTCCAGCCCCCGTTGGCTGCTCCCAGCTCTGCTGAGAGCCCCAGTCCACCCCCAGCCACGCCACGCCACCCTTCCCTATATCACAGCCCCCGAAAACTGCAGCTGGGTGGGTGCAAGTGGGGGCTGGAGGGAGGAGAGGGGAGGACTGGGGAGAATTTGCACCAAAATGGGGCCTCTGCCTGGTTGCACTGCAGGGGATGCTGATGCTCAGCCCTTGGCAGGGTGTTCCTGGTCCTTGTCCCTGTCCCCAGGTATCCAGAGCAATCGCAGCATCCCCATTTTCAAACCTGAGCCATCCAAAGGGACGTGGACAGGCTGGAGAAATGGGCTGCAGGGACCTCGGGGGGTTCCCTGGGAAGTGCCAAGCCCTGTCCCTGGGGAGGACCAGCCCCAGCCCCAGTCCTAGGACAAACTGGGGGCACCCTCAGGGAAGCAGCCAGGCAAGAAAGGCCCCGGGTGCCCCGCAGGACACCAAGGTGACCAGGAGCCAGCAGTGTGGCTCACAAAGAAGCTGATGGTGTCCTTCATCAGATGACTTCCCGAGGTCCCTTCCCACTTCCACCCCCCTTCGACTGTCACCGTGTCCCCCTCTGCATCCCCCTCGCAGGGGCAGCACCTCCCGTCCCACCCCCAGAGCTGCTGCCCAGCGCCCTGAGCCCTTCCCACCCGCGTTTTCCTCCCAAATCTCGACGTGCTGGGGATGGGGGAGCTGCCAGCACGGCCCCACCGTGCCGGGGTTCGGCTCCGAGCTCGCTGCCCGAGCGGGCGCCGCGCCAGGGCTGCGTCCCGGGATCTGGGCGGCACGCTATCCCCGGGGGGAGCTCACACAACTCGGCTGCGATTCTGGCAGGGGAAGAAAGGTGTGGAGGCAGAGGCGATGGCTGTACCTGACCGACTGGAAGAGCTGGAAAATGCAGGGAGGTTTCATGGAAACAAAGCCTGCTTCAGACCTGAAACAGCAGCAGAAAACCCCAGCCGAGTCGGGGTCGAGAGCAGTTGCTTTGAGCTTGGCGTTAATTACAATAATTTGGGACTTTAATAAAAGGGGTCGTGTTTGCGGGGCAGGGAGGGATGGCGGTGAGATGAAAGGCAATGCGGGCGATGGGTGCTGTGGGACCAGGCTCCCGTGGGTGCTCCTCGGAGCCCAGCACCAAAACTCCCCAAACCGTGGCCGAGCAAAGCCTGGGGCTCTCCAGCACGTCTCTGCACCCGGGGTGTCCTCAGTGAGGTCCCAGACCTACGTGTGCTCATCGCAGGCTGCAGCTGACTTCGTATGGCCAGCCTGGGTTTTAGATTGGGGGGAAAAAAGCAAAAAGAACAACCTGACCCCAAACTCCTTTCTCTGTAAGTTCACCCGCTTTTTCGATACGACGTTCTCCAGTCGCTGCTTTCATCCTGGTCTGGCACAAAACCATTCCCATGGCCATCAGTTGCCATGGCTGACAAAGTTTTGTGGATTTCAGCTTTCTTAGAAGCATGGAAACCCCCCGCCTCGAGTCTCGAGGGGAAGATGCAGCTGTGTGCTTTGAGCTCTCCTGGCTCTGTGCCCTGGGAGCCAGCTCTTCTCCTGCCCCTTGCAGTTCCAGGGGGAATTTCAAGGTGCTCTCCTTTGGAGGAGAAGATGATGCTTGGAGCAGTCAGTAATGAAACTGGATTTATTTCTAGAAGGGCATGAGTCAGTCCCGTCTCCTTGAACTGAACAGAGCCTTGTGCCTACCATCCCCCAAGCCGCAAATTTTGGCAGCTGAGAACCCCCAGAGCAAAACAAGGGAAGCTCAAAATTGCAAAAATTGCTTAAGTTGGTTAGTAAAAAAAAAAAATAAAAATCTATGCAACGATTTTCAACTGGAAAGGTTCTGCTGTCAAAACTGCAGTGAGGGAGAAGCAAAGGGCTCGGCCTGATGTGGCCATTCAAAAATCTCCCTCCTAGCTGGCTGTAAAAAAAAATAAAAATCTCCTTTTCCAGGGTGCTCCCTGGGGATGTGTCAGCTCCACCGGGTGCTGCCCTGGGGGTTTTTGCAGCTCAGCTGCACCCCTGCAGCTCCCTGCCCCAGCCCAGAGGGGAAAGTCAACCTCTGCCTCGTTGCTCGTATCAGAAGGAATTCCTCATTAATTACAGCTAATTTCCTGTGCTGTCAGGGATGGGATCTGCCACACAGCTGCTTTCCAGCTGGCAGCATCGGCTGCTCTCGGTCTGTCCATGTAATGGGTCAGCTGGGACGGTGCCAGCGACACCGCTTTGGTGCATCATGAGATGTGGTCCTGGGGCACCACAGGAGGGGATCTGCTGGGGAGGGCACCCTGCAGGGCTGAGGGGAGCCCGAAAACATCACAGCACCCCTGGGGCTCCAGGGGGGCAGTTCTGAATTAGTGTTTGTCTAAAATGTCCTTTTCTTCCTTCCTTCCTTCCAAGGCAGTTCGGACAGTGGCTGTTCCCTTCCTACAGAAGATTTTATTCTGTGGTTGGGTTTTGCCCAGTTTCTGAACAGCAACGCACCAGCCTCAGATGTTTTCCTGCCTGGCTTTCTTTGTACAGTGCAGGTAGCTCAGTGCTATGAATTTCTAGTGCATCACCCCCATCTTCCCAAAAGCTGAAGGAATTTTAGGTAGGGGAGCTGAGCTGGGGCCGAGGCTGGGGACCACGCAGGGCAAGGCGGAGGTGCAGGATCCACCGCTGGGCCCTGGGGCGAGGCAGAGGAATGCCCTAATTGCAGCACGGTTATGGAAACTGGAAGCTCTCCACTGCCCTGTAGCCAAAGAAACAGGCTCTGCATAGGGATGAGACACAGGACACTGTTCCCAAGGGAAAAAAAAAAAAAAAAAAAGGCAAAACCAGCTGATACTGGTCTAGCTCCTTAGCAGGTATAAATGGGTGCCTTGTGCTGATCTGCATCAGCCTGGCCTCCTGGAGCTCCTCAGGAGCTGCAGGGCTGGCTGCAAGCTCTCCACCCTGGGCAAAGCGGGTGTCCGGGGAGAAGCACAGCTCTGCACCATACCCTTGTCCTCCTCCTCCTCTCCTGGGTGGAGATCTGGGGCAGCACACACAGCAGCCTGGTGCGTGGAGCAGGTCTGGATCAATGTCAGCCTGGTTCCCCACTTGTGCCCGCACCCATATTTCATCACATCCTGCTTTGGGGACCTGCAGCTTGGGCTGAGCTGGGGAATGCTGCTTTGGTGATGAGCGTGGGGCAGCCGAAATAGCTTTTGTACAGGGAAGTCTGGCTTCACAAAGCTGCTGGTGTGCGCTGAAGGCGTCGGCAAGCTAGTGGCTAAGGGTGACTCAGTAGGTAAGAGTTTTCCTGGATTTCCAGGAGCAAAGGCTGGAAAAGGTCAGCCACGGGTAAGAAGGAAAGTCCAACCAGAGGTAAGTAATCAGTTAGCAGATAGGAAACAGCAATGGCGAGATAAGCCTGCAGATAATTTGGGTGTATTCAGCATGGCAGAGATGAAGGGTCATGATGAAGGCATTCTGAGGAACCTTGCAGGATTGGGATTTGGGAATAAAAGATAAAAGCGCCGATGAGCTTCAGGAAGAGTACAAAGTGACACACAGAGAGAAAAATTCAACATGACTTCATGTTTAAGACAATGGGCTCGAGGCTGGCCATTGTCTACCTGGGAGTGAGAGCCTGGGATTAGAGTAAACATGAAAGAAAAAAAAAAAAAAGCAGCATAGGGGAAAACATGAGCTAACCGCTCTGTGACAGCACAAATCTCAGACCAGGAGTGTCCTGGAGGCTGGAGATCAACGCTTCGTGCAGCCGAACAGCTCAGCATGAGTCAGCCCCAGCTGGGGAGGTGGGAGCTCTTCCTGCAGCGCGGAGCAGACCCGGGGAACTCCTCGCTGCAGGTTCACGCCAGCAGTTCTGGGCTTGAGAGAACCAGGACAGGTCCCCGGAGGAGCAGCCCCCTTGGGGGGGTCTTTGATTCAGCTCAAAAATTGTCTGAGCTGAAAATAAAGACCGGGGGAGTGTGAGGGGCGAGCGTCACCAGCGCCTGTCCCCTGCCTAATCCCTGTCCCCTAAATGCCTGTCTAGAATTTCCTCATCGTCGTAACAAGAGGAATCACAAACCGTGAGGTTTTATGTTCCTTTGCCGTATAGATCCTAGCTGGGGGTGTTCTTTCACTACGCCGGTGTAATCCTTTTTATAAATCCTGTTAAGTCCTGTGCTTCAGTGATATCCTTTGGCAATGAGTTTTGCAAGTAAAGTGCTCACTGTGCATTAATCAGAAAGGTTTATTGCTTTATAGTAGCTTGCTGATGCTGGACTGCTATATATAGTTTGCCAGCAATTAGCGGGACGCTTACAAGGTTATTTAAGTAATTTTTTTCCCCTTGTGCCACAGCTCACTGAACTTTCCGTATGTATGACAGCACTTGAAAGACAGCTGTGACAGCGAAGAGGAAGAAAAGCAGAACGAGCCTGGCTCGTGGTGGATGGCTCATTTGACAGGGCTGTATTTTAGAGACGGGATTTTAATCAGGCACCTTTGGTTCAGAGAGCTGCTCGGGCGCTGGGCACACCCTGTGGGGCAGAGGCAGGGAAAGGGGCCTGGCCACATCACCGCCCCTGGGGACCCTGTGGGGGCCGCAGACCCAGGGGTCCCAGAGGCGTCCACCAACCTGCCCAGCCTGCGGTGCTTGGGGTGCCCCCATGGCCCCAGTGAGCCCCCCGTTGCCTTCCCCCTGCCCTTCAAAGAGGGCACGGTGTGAGAACTGGGGGCACGGGGACTGGGGACCAGCCTGGAGGGGCTGGTGGCTTGGGTGGTCCAGGCCAGGAGCGGGGTGTGCATGCACAGTGCTTCGGCACCCAAAAACCACCACCTGCTCAGGCTTCCCCCACCTCCCCCAAGACTTTCTGAGTGTTTTTTACTGCAGCAAATCTCCTAAAAAAAATGGGGGAGCTGTGTCTGCTCCACCCAAGGCATCCAGACCGGGCTGCAAAGAGGGGGGCACCCTCCCCTGCTCTTTGGAAAGGGTCGGTCTGCGCCCTGACGGAGGTGTTTTAATGACTGTTTTGGATCCCGGAGAGCCAGCGGCTGCCTCCTCCCACGCAGCCCAAGGTAATTCACCTCCTCCAGGCCGGCGTTGGAGGAGGTGTTGACGGGTGCAGAGCTGCTGGTAGAACAGGTTCTGGGCTGGGAGTTGTCTCCGAAACCCTGGGAGACCTGGATGGATCCAGCCCCGAGCGCGGGTCCCTCTCCGAGCCCTGGCACAGCAGGCGGCGAGCAGGGATTTGCTCTGCGTGGCACTCCTGGGCAGGGCGTCTTTTGCGCGGCGCCGCTAGTAGACAAATTACAGCCTTGCCTCTGTCAAGGTAGATAAGAGACCATGTGAGGCTGCGTGGTGGTAAACGGGTTGCAGGCAGGGTAAAGGTGCACAGGGAAATAACCTTGCAGGGAGTCCCTCCCTCCCCGAGCAGCGCAAATCCCCGTGGGTCCGCCGGCGCCTCGGCCTGGATGCCAGCGCAGGTTTTGGGGGCTCTCTGAGACTCGTGAAGCCGCGATGTCTTACAGCAGGAGGAACTGGTCCGATCTCTCCAGGTGGGTGCCTGGGGGGTGGCTGAACGCGGCCAGGAGGCGAGGGTGGGCTGCCGGCACCGCGCGGCGTCGGGGAGGACGGGGACAGACGGGGGCTGCCGTCGGGGGGCTGCTGGCAGAGGTGGCTCGGTGCTGCTGGGGTTTCTTGTGGGTGGGTGAGATCAGAGGCAGTTTTGTTTCTTCTGCCTGGGGAAGCTGAGCTCTGCGTTGGAAAACAGCTCTGGAAAAGGCATCCTCGCCCCGCACTGGGTGTGTTCCTGGTCTCTTGGGTCTGTTTGCCTTTCCCTGGGCTCTCTCCGGTGGGGCTGTGGCACCGGGCTTGCTCCAGGGGTGGCTGTGGGGCTTCGTGCTCACCCGTGCAGCCCCCGGGTGCGTGTCCCGGCTCTGCCCATCCGGCGCTGAGCAAGCCCTGATTCATCCCCAGCCTCTGAACCATCCCGGCCCTGCCGCTGCGCCCTTCCCAAAAAGCAATTTGGGCTCCGATGGAAGCTCCTGGGCACGGCCGGGTGAGGCAGGGGCTGGTGGCTCACAGGGGTGCGGGGTCCGCACCGACCCCGCATGGACCTGGGGCCGGTACCACCAACCTCCACTGCCGGCTGCACGGGTGGTGATGGTGGTTCAGACACAGCCCACAAAACAGAGCAGAAATCCCCATGGGGGTGGTGGATCAGAGACCACCTCCCCTCACCCAGCTGTGAGACGGAGGCCAAAGGGTCCCCAGATCAGCTGTAATTTGGGTGAGACACCCAGCCCGGTCAGCACAGAGTTGGGAATTGAGGTCCTGTTGCTCAGAGGCTGCCAGCTCACACCACTGCCTCCACCGTGGGTGCACAAGTGTGGATCCAGAGAACATCCAAACCCCGTCCAGATCCACCTCTGAGCTGTGCAGCTCCCAAATATAAGCCCGGTGGGGTCCTGCACCCGGGAAGTTTCACAACGCAGTGAGGCAGCTTCTCCTCTCGCTAGAAGAGGCAGAATTCCCTGAAACAGCACAGATGTCAAATATCTCAGCACTAATGATTAACAGGGCAGGAGAGGACAAGGCAGGGGAGACTTGCCAGTCTTCTTTTACTCATCTCTTTGAGGTTAAAAAAGGCAAGACAGTGAGAAAGAAATCCCTCTTTGAAAAGAGGAGGGAAAGACTGGCAAAGCAAATCCATAGCCTAATGTGTGGATTATTTAATTACCGATAATGAGGAATTGCACCTTGGTAACGCCAGGATATGCGCTGCCTCTGCAGGAGCCAAGCAAATTCGAGGCAGGAAAATCTGTTTCATTTTGAAGAAAGCCTGTGCATGCAAATCAAAGAAGCAACCAGCTCTCACACGTGTTTGGACTGGCTTTGGGGCTCCACGCTGTCACTGCAGGAGGGACACGCACAGAGAGCTTGGCAGAGGCACAGCCCTGCAGCCTTGCAAGCACAGCCCAGCTGTACATCAGCATTTTCAGGCTCAGACCCATGAGACAAATGCTGCTGTGGGGGGCTGGCTGGGGACATGTCCCCAGGCAGGACGAGACCCAGCTGGGGATGCTCACAGAGGCTCCCTGTGGCAGGTCCCAGCCTTCTCCATCCCCGTCCCACCCCATGCCACGCGTTGGGGACCACCCTGGGGTGGCATGCTGGGGGTCATGGGGATGGGGGAGCGGGAGGACAGCACGCCCCGTGGCATTGCTCTGTGTGCAGACAGGGGCTGAGCTGCCCGCTGGGCCCCGTGCTCTCCGTTCTGCTTTACTGACCCTCCAGCGCTCCCCTGCCTCCATCCACCAGGAAGAACAGAAGCCGCGAGTGGTTGCGGGGGGTAATGTGGTTTAATTTATGACCCAGGCTTCATTACACAGTAACTCGCAAACCACACGGCGAGTCACCGTGTCCGCAGCCGTGCTGGCAATACCACAGACCCAAGCGTGCTCTGACTTCCACGTTGATAAAAGCCAAATTCAAAGCAAACCCTGGACCTGGATGAAGCTGGAGTGCCAGCCCCTGGGAGTCTGCATGGGGCCAGATCCTGCACGGGAGGGCAAAAGCCAGGGCTTCCCAGGAGGAAGCTGCCCCTCGTGGTGCTGGTGACCCCGTGTGTGTTTGCAGCTGGTTCAGGACTAGTGCTGCAGGTACATGAGTGCTGTTGTGAAAAATGCAGGGCAGGCACGAAATATTGCCCAACACTGCTCATGCGCCGGCAGAAAGGCTGGGCACGGTTTGCGCAGCGGAAGGAAGGGAAAGCTTCCCAAACAACTTTTTATTCGGGTTGGCATTTTAGCCTACAAATTATGAATTGCTTAAAATAAAATCTTTAAAGGTGAGACTTTAAAGGTGCTTATGAACCTTGTCATTTTGGTATAAGCTGTGACTAATCCTGGTCCTTCTGGCTTTGGGAGGCCACACGTGGGGAGCAAGGGGGCTCCTGTGTCCCTGTTCCTGTGCAGAGCTCTTCAGTGGTGCTCGCCCTTCAGCCTCGGATGCTTTTGCATCTGAGGCTTTTTGCACAATAAAAATTAAAATGCCACCCCCATAATTCATGCTGGGGCTAAAACCGTCTGCCACTCGCGGTTACCCTTCGAGGTCGTGTGGTTGAGATCCCTGCGGTGGCTCTAGGGTCTTGCCGAGTTACAGGTTAAATATCCGTGCCTGGAACGGATTGCTTAATGTAGGGATTCCTTTTAAATGACTGCTGCCTTGAACAGGAGAAATTAGGAGTTGGGAAGTCAAGTGCTTGTGTTGGGAAATGCCCGAATCAGCTGGGTGGAGCGAGAACACTTTGCGACACCCGGCTCGCGTTGGTGTCCCTCTGCCCCTGCCCCATGAAGGAAGGGCCCTTCCACCACCCCCTGGGCCCTTTTGAGGGCACTGCGGTCCCTTTTCTCTGTCAGATCCCTGCGAGACACACAGCCTCACCACGACCTTATGTTCCACCCCAAACAGCCTGGCCAAGCAGAGGACGCTTGAGGATGAAGAAGAGCAGCAAAGGGAGCGCCGGCGAAAGCACCGGAGCCTGCTGTCCTCCTCCTCATCGGTGGATGAAGAACCTCCGAGCCCAGTGAAAGACCCCAGCCCAACGCCCAGCAGGTGCGTGAGGTCCTGCTGGCATCAACAGCAGGGCTCTGCTGCTGCTCGCTGTTACCAGCTCTCTGGTTTTGTTTTTGCTAGCATTGCTCTTTCCTTGGCAGCGATGGGAATGATAAGGGGCTGGGCTGCCTTCACCCCACTTAAAACATTTGTTGGCCAGTCCTGCAGGCACTGGGAGGTGTTTGCTTTCCCAGGCAATGTGCTGCTGCCCTGGGTTGAGGCTGCAGAAAAGCTTCATTTTTTTTTCTGCCAAAAACAAGGAAAAAGAGTAGTCGTCCAAACTTTTGGAAACTTTTTGCCGCAGCCCTAGCACAGGCTGCCCCAAGGCTGTGGGGTCTCCGTGGGGAGCTCCAAACCCGCCTGGACGTGGCCCTGGGCACCCTGCTTGGGGTGGCCCTGATGGAGCAGGGGGGACTGGAGGGACCCAGGGGCCCTTCCCACCTCCACCTCCCTGTGATTTTGTGACTCCAGAGACAGCTGTGGTCTCTCTCTAGGCCCCAGTCCCTGGTGAAGCCGGCGTCTCCGGAGGAAGAGGAGGAGCGCAAGCTCTCGGAGGTGCTGAAGACGCAAGAGGGGAGACGGACAAGGTCCCCGATGGCCGTGTCTGAGAAGCCGAAACAGGAGAAGGAGCAGCGGGAGGCAGTGCAGGGAGCGAGCTGTGAGCAGGCTCAGCCCCACACGGGGCAGGAGAGCGGCCGGGCTGCAGAGCAGGGTCAGGATACGGCCATGGGCAAAGAAGCACCACCAGGAGACCAGCCCCCAGAGCCAGCCCGCGAGAGGAAGGTGGTGGCGAGGGGACGGCTGCAGGACAAAGAGGGACAAGGCGCGGGGACACCCCGAGGGGAGCAGCGGAGGGATGAGGGGGAGCCGCAGCAGCAAGCGGCTCCGGAGCTGGGGACCTGCCGGGTCCGCGAGGTGAAGATCCTGACCCGAACGAGGATCCGCAGCACGGATGAGAAGATAGCCTCGGAGGGGACCCCGTCTCCGGACCAGCAGGTGAGCAGGATGTGGGGAAGGTGCTGAGCTTTGGGGCGTGCAGTCCTGGAAGGACAAGAGCAAGGGGGAGAGACCAAAAGGAGGAGGGTCTCAAACCCCCGTCTCCAAACCATTTCCACCCTGGCTGCTCTGATCCCTGCACCTGAAGCTGAACCTTCCCCACAAACTCTGCACAGGTGCATCAGATGTCTGCTTTTTCCTCAGCATCCACCCAGGAGCCCCTTAAAGGAGGTAACACAGCCACCTCCCACCCAAGATGAACCTCCAGAAAAGTCAGAGACTTCTCGAAATTATGCCACTTACAGCAGCTCCATCAGAAGAAGCAGCCCAAGAACTGTCTCCTTTCGGGTAAGAGCAAAAGCAAGTGGGAGAAAGACTCCTGTTAGGGCAGTGGAAGATGAAGGAAGGGGATGATTTGGTGTCCGTGCCATGTTGGCAGAGCCTGTTCCAAAATGTGCATTTGAAATCCATCCTTGGTCTGGGCATTGCAGCTCTGCTTCAGTCTTCCCTCCCTTTCCCTTCTCCTTGTCAGACCAAAGGCGGGTGACTGAGGACAAGTCCGTGTTCATATACTTTGTGCTGGCATGGAAACTTGTGGGAAGTGGTCAGACAACAGGGAGCTTGTTGTCCTCAGATTTCCCAAAGAGTCACAGAAATGACCATCCACCCCCTGGCATTTCTGTTCTCTGAGAATGCAGGAGGAAAAAATAACCCATCCTTCCTCTCGTTCCTTGTTATATCCCTGAGAATATCTCAATTTCTAGCCTGCCCCCCCTTCAAAAAAAAATAATAAAATCTGGAATAAAAGGCTGGAAAAAGCACAAAAGCCACTGAGATCCTCCGTGCTGTGAATTAGGGTCTGACTCTGACCCAGTTTTCCATGTGTTTATCTGTGATGACCGAGGATGGCTCCAGTGTCTCCTTGCCTTGTGTCTTCCAGGTGATCTCAAAGAAACAGAAAGAAGAAGATGAAAGCCCTCTCACAAGGAGGTCAGCAACCCTCTGCATGCTGCTTTGGCCTTCCTGGGCAGGGATGCTCGTCCCTTGTTTTCCAAGGGGGAGGAGGGGATGTCCCCAGGGTGCCTGGCTGACCGGGCAGCGATGCCTGGGGTGAGAGCAGGCAGAGCAAAGTCCACCACAGAGCTGGTATCTGTACAGGTCACCCCCAGCTTGCCCCTGTGGTCTCTTGGGGCAGTCTCTGGCATCTGCACTGCTAGGAGTTGGTTACAGTGCCATAAGGTGTCCCCCAACCCTTTGAGCCACCCAAAACCCAACCGTACAGGTCCCTGAGCAACTCGATCTCACTTTGGAGGGCAGCTCGAGTGGCCCTCCACATCTCTGTGGCAAGGTTTGGGCTAGGGGCTTGAATCTCAGGGAACTGAGGGCTCAGGTTTGGGAGCAGGGGGTGGATAAGACTCCCTGTCCTACCTGGGGCCTACTGGGGGCAGGATGAGTGTCTGGGTCAGAGGGGGTCTCCTCCCAACACATGGAGCCCCCCAAGACAATGGGCTGAGTCTAGGGGACTGTGGGGGCTGCATTCATCTCCCTCCCCTCTTCTTCACCAGCGCGAGCCTGAGGATCCCAGGTAGCAACACCACCATCGAGGAGAAACTGGAAAAGTACACCTCGGCCGTGCAGGTACCGAAACCCTCAGCACAGCCAGGATGGTGCAGGGATGGGGGGGAAGAGGGAAAGGGGGCCTGGAGCTGGGGGAAAGGCAGAGGGGGACTGGGCTTCACCAAAAAAAAAACAAAACAGCCCTGATGGAGATGATGAAGGCAATCTCATGCAGGTAAACAGATCGGCCACAGGGTTTAGGAGCAGAGGGGATATCCCTTGGAGAGGGTCATGGGGATGCTGCGTGGTCCTGGTGGGCAATCCCATGAGCTGGTGACGGGCAGGGAAGGAGCTGACCCAGGGCTTTGCTCTTCACCCCTTGGGGTGCAGCACAGCCCCTGCTCACAGCCCTCTCTCCTCCCAGCGCTCGGGGTCGGTGAGATCTTCCGTGACTGTTCAGAAGAGCCTCGTGGTGACCTCGGAGGGGGTGGCCAGCAAGCGCAACTTCTTCGAGACCAGCGCTCCCAGCAAGGCTGAGCCGCTCGCAGCCAAGAAGGTGAGGGCAGGAGTCCCATGGGAAGGTCCTGTGCCAGGGCAGGCACAAGCTTTTTGGGCAAATCCTCCCCGGTTTGGGTACCAATGCACACCGTGGCAGGCTGCTGGGGGGAGTTTGGTGGTTGTTGTGCGAGCAGGGCTGGGCTCGAGCCACCGAAACTGTGCTCTGGCAGCGTGTGGGTTTGTGCCGATGCGCTGGTATTTGGGGAGCTGGGAGGGAGCCAAAGTGTGGGCTGGTCTCTGCCTGCTGCAGGCTTGCCCCGTCTCCCTGTGCCCTGGGGTTTGTCCCGGGTTGCCTTCGTGCGATGCGAGAGCTGGTGCTGCAACCCTGCTGTCCCTCTCCTTGCCACAGGACAACCTGAAGATCCCGGGGTCGGTGACGTCCCGCATTAATCTGTGGATCAGCCGAACTCAGGAGCCTGCCAAGGAGGAAAAGAGCAAGGTACCAGCTTGTGCCAAGAACTCGGGCTCAAGTCCTGGGGGCTGGCAGCTTGGTGGGACACCCCCCTACATCTGGGGACAGTGGGCTTGGAGGGTTTGAAAAGCCCAGATCGAACCTGCTAAAGATTTGGGTCACAGGTTCAGCTGCCACCTGCAGGCTGCTGGGAGATGAGCTGCGTGCTCACTGCTCACCCACTGCTCTGTGGGGCCTGAAAACATAAAATGGGAATGGGTCGGGTGGGAAGGGACCTCAAAGACCACCTAATTCCACCCCCCTGCCATGGGCACACCGCCTCGCACCAGACCGGGCTGCTCAAAGCCCCATCCAGCCTGGTCCCGAGACCCGGTGTGCACCAAGAGGGCCTGCTGAGTACTGGGCCTGATCCTGCTGCAGATCCCAGCCCCCCAAAACAGGGGGTCCCACAGCTGGGGACACAAAGTGCCTGGCTTTGGGGACTCAGACTCAGGTGCTGCTCCAGGGATGTGGATTAAAGGGAGATGGGCAGAAAACCCTTTGGCCCCAACACTGTACTTGGAAAGGGGAGAATCAGCCAGGACAAATGCTGGGCAGGTGTCACCCCACAAAGCAATAGGATTTTGCCGCTGCTCGTGGCAGCTGTGTAGGTACAGGAGGGGCAGCTCCAGCCCAGCCCCGCAGCCTGGGCGGGCAAGCCTGGGCACCCCGGCGCTGAGCTCCAGGATTAGCACTGCCCAAACGTGTCTGTGCCGGGAGGCTGAGCTGGCTCCGGCTGCTGGGAAAGGGTTTGCTCCTGGGGTCACTCCTGGGTAAGGCTTTTTTCCTCCTATATTCCTGAAATAAAGCCGCCATCCACCTCTGTGGGCTGGTGCTGCAGTTGTTTTTTTGGGGTCTACCAGGTGTAGGATCTCAAGGCTGGGTGGTTTTAGCTGGGGCAATCCTGCTTCGAGGGCTGCTTACAGACAGCAAGGCAATAATTCATATGATGCATGGAGGAAACCTTCTCGTGCCACTCATGACTCTCTTATTTGCAGGACGTCGGGAAAATAAACAGCCTGCCAAAGCGTGACGTCTGGGTAAAGCAGCCCAGAGACGCCCCTGCAGGCACCAAGGTAGATGTGGAGCTGCGCTGAGAACTGCTCCGAGCTGGGGCACGACTGGGACCTGCTCACCCGTGCATCACCCCCAGCCCCAGCCCCGGCCTCACTGTTTTTCACTTTCTCTTCCAGCTGCAATAATATCGTATGCAATAATATCAGATGATCTGGGGGAAAAACTGGTTTGCTCTGAAGATCAAAGCCTGGCCCTGCCCAATCATCCGTGCCAGCCCTGCCCACTGCCACGAGTGTCCCCACTGCCACGTGTGGGTGGGATGGGGTGGCCGGGGTCCTCTGCTTGTGGGCTGGGAAGGAAGAAGGCTGGAATCCCATCCCTGCATCCCCAACCCTCACTCCCTGCCTCTCCAGGAATACCCAGGCCTGGAGGTTCCCTGCAGGTGCTGAAGGCAGGCTCTGGCCTTGCTTCCCTACAACATTTTGGTGTTTTGCTCCTAATCCCTGGCTGTGCCCCAACCTGCGCTTGCTAAGGGGAGCAGCTTGCGCGTGTCCCTTGCAGCTGGATCCTGCTGTTGGGGTGAGAGGCTGCCGGGCCAGGGCAGTTTTGGCTGCCCACCCATGGACCGTGCCCGTCCCTGAGTGTGGCGTGAGGTGGGGGTGCAGGCAGATGTCACCCCCTCCCCAAGCTGTGCCTGCTGGAGGGGACCCAAACCCCTAAAACGCTGTTTGCCAAGTTGCTCGTGCACCAGCCTAGCTTGGAGCCCCCCGTGGAGGACAGGTGGACCTGACAGCACTGGTGCTTCCCTCCAGCACACAGCTCAGACGTGTCCTTCACCACTCCCATCCCCTGCAAGCAGTGACCGCTTTTGCTGAGTGCTATGGGGAGGGCAGGCTGGCCACAGACCTATTTGTGGGGCTGCGTGGAGCTGGGAGCCCTGTCCTGGACCCCTTCTGCAAGCCCCGTTCCCTTCTCACACTTCTCCTGGAGCCCTTTGCGATGCAGATCCCAAAGCCACCCGGTCCCCACTCTCCCCGGCTGCTGCGCCCACCCTGGGGGGGCACAAGGTGCTGTGGGCAGCCCATAAAATGATGCTCAAATCCTGCTGGGGCTGTGCCTTCACCAACCACTGCGGTGTCTAAATTCGGTGTGGGACCCTCCTGCTGCCCCTTGGTCTCATCTTGCTTGTTGGGCTTTAGAAGGGATTTGGTTTTCCTCTTTGCCTTTTTTTTTTTTCTTTTTTTTCTAATAAAAGTTCTTTCTAAGAAGCTCCCGGTTGGCTGCTCCTGGACTGGGACCTGGAAAGGTTTGCTCCCCATCTTCTCTCAAGAGGAAAAAAGGCAAAAACCTGAGACGGATGTCTCAAAGGGGGGGTAAAAACAATCCGAACCTTCACAGGACAGCATCTTGGTGCGGAGGGTCTGGTCCCCGGCTCTGCCTTATCAGCGTCCCCAGCCCTAGAAGGTGACAGCTGGCTGGCTTGTGTCAGCCCCTCGGGCACTCACGTATCTCCGTCCGGCGGGTTTAAAATAGCAAATCTCTGAGGCCACACAATAGCTTGGGCTTATATGGGCTCCTGGGGGGGCAGGGGGAGCGCGGAGGGGGCCGGGGCCGCGGCTGCCGAAATAGCAGCTCACAAGTGTTGCATTCCTCGCTGGGCGCCGGGCGCATTCCTGCCGGCGCTGCCCGCCCCGGGGTGGGCGCTGGGGGCCCCTTAAAGCCTCTGCCCCCCAAGGAGCACACCCCAGACACCCGCCGGCTTCCCCACGGCTCCGTGGGACCTCACCTGCGCCCCACAGCAGAGGTAAGGCTGGGGTGGCTCTGTGGGATGCTCGGGCTCTGCTGTGAAAGCGCAGGAGATGCAGGCCCCGCATGGATTTGGCTCGGGGTTGATGGCCCTGCCCAGCTGCTTGCTCTGGGATGTGTTTCTGCTGTGAAGGCATTTCCCTGGGGAAAGCATCAGGACCCTCTCCAGGGGGTTTCTCTGCAGCACATCCAGTGCGGTTTGAGTGATGTAAGATGGCTGGAAAGGATTTTGGGTGCTTTTAGGGGATCTCGCAGATCCCTGCTCCCCATCTCTCCAGGCAGACAGGAGGGATGCGGTGCTGTGGGAGCATCGTACTGGCCCACGGGGACCAGCAGAGCCAGGATGCTCGCTTTTCTTTCAGAACGAGCGTTCAGAGCTTTAACTGGAAGATTTATCCTGCTTCTGTGCCATTTTCTGCACAGAGGATGGAAAAATATTTCTTAGAGCCACCTTCCAGTATAACATTATCTTTTCTTGATTTTGCTGCTGCTCCTCAGCAAATGTTTGGTGGGATCTGGTGATGTAGCAGAGAGGAGATGCATGGGAATGCAGAAATACACTTCCAGAAATTAATGTTTACAGCCTCGTGGCCAGGAGGGGATCTCTGCTCCTGTGTTGTACAAGGGCCACATGAAGCCCTGGGTGCCTAGTGGCCAGATAAAAGGGTTTGGCCAAACTCTGAGGTGGCAGGACCAGTGCCTCGCAGGGCCAGGCATGGGGAGTTCTGGGGAACGCATGGGGCTGAGCCCCGGCTCTGTTGGAGGGATGGGGACAACAGCAGCAGCTGGGGCAGTGAACCCGGGGCAGACGGGGCTGGCTTCTGACTTCATTTGTCTCCAAAAAGCACTCCTGAGTCATTGCTCAGAAAGGAGGTTTGACAGCCGTGTGGTATGCTGAGGCATCCCTCCTGCAGTGCATCTTCCCCATGCCTGTGGGTCCCGGTCCCGGATTCAGCATCTTTAATGAGCGATCCTGAAGCCTCTCCGACCCATCCTGGGTAATGAATGCCCGACAGATGCAGCCAGGGCCAGTTGTTCCCGGTTGCCCGATGGGAGCGCTGCTCTGGGAACAGGTGGCTCGGCACATGGGGGTTATTTCTAGAGCTGCCTCACGTTGTCCTGCTGCATCGCAGCCTCGCCGAGGTCCCGCAGGAGCAGGGTGGCCAGGCTGTGCAGGGGCTGGGCTGTGCAACCTTGTGCTGCAGCATCGGGTGGGAGCAGGGCGAGGAGTGCCGACGGGTGGCATTCACTCAGCCACAGGCTGGGAGGGAGATCGGTGTGCGAGGAAGATGAGCATGGACATTTTCATGGTTTTCGCTACACTCAGCCCTGCTGCTCAGCTGGGATCTGAGTTATTGTCCCCTGTAGCTAAGCTCAGCCTATTGCAGATAACGGGATGTCCCTGCAAGGTTCCATATCCCAGCTGAGCTAAGAATAGTCAGGAAGCAAAACAAGCTGAACGTTATAATTGGGTAATTTTCCCGTGCCCTGAGCAAACACAGCACCCTGGGATGGCTCCAGCAAGGGGAGCTGCGTGTCCCAGACGTGGCTCCTGACGGCAGCTATCAGCATGGCACGAGGCTGTGTCTAATCTCCTGCCTCTTATTTGGGACTAGCTCTGATCCTGGGACAGGAGGGGAGCGGGGGGACCTTATCTCCACTGAGATATCACCACCACAGCCCGGCGGGGGACAGCTCCCAGCTCCAAGTACTTTGGAGAGACTGCAGCATCACCGTGCCCATGTCGTGGTGCCGCAGGACAGGCTGTGCTTGTTCTTATCTCAGCTCCTAACCCTCGCTTTTTCCACCTTGCCTTGAATTCTGCTAGATAACCAAGCATGTCGGACTCTGAAGAGGTCGTCGAAGAGTATGAGCAGTAAGTGGTGTGTTTTTAAACACCTTTCTCTCTCCCAATCCCTGTCTTCCTGTAGGGTCAAGCGTTGCTTAGAGGTGCTGATGGGGGGCCCAGCTGTGGTTGTTGCCCCAGCACCCAGCATGAAAGCACCTTGGGATCCCCCCTGCCCATTGGCATCACTGCTCTGACGGTTCTGTGGGGAGTTTGGAGCCGATAAGCAAATGTTCTGCAAAGGAATAGACCCTGCCCTAAAAGTTATGTGCTCTAAACCAATGGGACAGAGCTGAGAAAAGGCTGGCTCCATCATTGTGTTGCTGATGGGGTCCTACTGCAGCAGTCCTGAGCATCCCAACGAGGCCCAAATCCAAGTGCAGATTTTGCTGGTGAGAGCTGCTGGAACACCTGAAGGGAAGGGGATTGACGTTGGAGCCACGTGGCTATAGGGACCGGTCCAAACGTGGCTGCTATTTCCTCATGCACCATCAGCAAAATTAGATCTGAGCCCTGGTCTGATATAAGGGCGAGATGTAGGCTACCCGTTCGTAGAGTTTCAGACCCCCTTCTCGAGCTGTGAAATGCTCCTGGGCTCTGACCAGCCACCGGAGTGCCAGCTGAGCACTGCAGGCTGCCGATGTCTGCAGCCTGCTGGGTGATGGGGGACTCGACCTGTCCCCACTGCCACCTTACAGCACGGCACCCCGCAGCCTGCTGAGCACTCAAACCCACTGCTATGGAAAGCGGGACCCAGCTTGAGAAAATTTCAGCTCCTTTGCAGAGGATTGCTGTAACTGGGGCACTTTGTGTCGTGCTTTGCAGGGAGCAGGAAGGTAAGGGGACGTGGAGCATCCACAGCTGCCCCGAGACTGACGCTAAGAAATGATCAGAGCAGCTCCAATAACCTGCGTCTTCTTTCCCTTCCCTTTCTCCTGTGCGCACATGTGCTCTGTGAAGAGGAGTACGTGGAAGAAGGTAGGTGTTTTGTTTGTGGTTGGATCAGTGCTGTTGGTTCGGTGTTATGCTCGAGTGGGTGGTGGTGGCAAGCTGCTGGGCTGCCATGGGCCAGAGGAGGCTGTGTGAGGCTGTGTGAGGCTGTGTTGTGAATTCCTCCACCTGAAACATCAGTGGGATCAAAGCCGGCCTAAATATTCTTAGGATCTCTTTTAACAGGGAGATCCCTTGTCTCAAAAAGAGGGGCGGATTAGGGTATTTTCAGAGGTGTGAGCACAGTATGGCTCAAGAGGAGCTGGTGCTTCAGCTGAATGTATGTTAATGGTGCTCGAGGAGAAGCCTCCAGCTGCCCCCGTACAGGTGAAGAACCGACCCCCCCGCTGCATGCAGCTGCTCTGGGACATGGCTGGGCTGAGCATGCGAGGCTGGGCTTGGGGCCTGGGTTTTGCTGGGGGTCTTGCTGCTTCAGGGCACTGCCAGGCAGCCTGCTGTAGGGGCGAAGCATCCTGGAAATTAAAAGCAAAGGGCTGGAGTCCTCATCTCACGCGTGCCGTAGCTACACCCTGCAGCTTTACGGCATCTCACTAACCTCTGCGCTTATTCCTTCCCCTCCTCCCGGGCTCAGAAGAGGAAGAATGGATTGAGGAAGAAGACGGTAGCTATTGCACCTTTCTTTATTTCATCTCTCCTCTGCTGCTGTGAACACCTTGTGGGTCCATCTGTCTCGTGCCTTTCCCCGGCTGGGGAAGGGTTTTCTTCCATTCTTTCACTTCTCTCTGTTGCTTCTTGCACTCCCCCCATCCAGCCGTGCTGTGCATACCTGCTCTCGTTCTGTGGTTTCTGTCTTACATCTACCCCCAAAAGTGCCCGTGGCTTGCTGTTTTCTTTTTCTTTCTTCCTCTCTTGCTGCGGGACCACAAGTCTTCCCAGGACCTGTGGGCCCCAGCGCTGCTCTCGCTCCGATGGAGGATTCTCATGGGGATACTGCTCCCTCCAGTGGAAAAAGGCTCCAACCGTGCCATAAATGAGACCTATGCCACCCAGCCTTGTTCTTTGCTGGGTGGAGGAGGGCAACAGCAATCCCTGCTCTGCACCATGGGGTCTGAGGGCCTAGCTTGGCAGGGAGGGAACGAGGGACAAACCAGGCTCTAAATCCTTTAAATTTATCCCTCTCCCCACCCAAGCACAGCCTTCGGGTGCAGGTTAGAACGAAGCCCTTTGCTTTCTGAGCTGCTGCTTCTTTCTCCTGTAGCTTCCTCTCCCCTGGGGCTCTTTGGCCTTGCTGGTGGCCGGCTCCGAGCCACAGATGTCCCCCAGGAGGGGGCTGCGAGGAGCCAGCAGCAGCCACGGCTCTCGCAGTGACCCTGCCCTTGTTCCCCAGGTCAGGAAGAACAGGTAGAGGAGGCAGAAGAGGAGACCGAGGAAACCAAGGCAGAAGGTATGCAGATGGTGGGAGATGCCACG